TCAAATTTAAATAAATATTATCTTTTGAGCATTAATTATGAAAGTATAAGTATAAATGAAAATTCTAATTACTATAAATAAATTGGTTTAGATATGTTTATAATTTAATTTTATAAATTCTATTTTATAATGAAAAAAAATGTTATAAAAATTTATAATTTGCACTTGTTTTATGTAATATTCTTTATAATTTATGAGAATTCGTTTAAGGTCTGTGATGGCTTTATTAAGCTTTTTAAGGTGTGTATCATTATAATGATATTATCGGGGAGAAGATATTTTCAATCATATGAATTAAAATTTTGAATATATATATGTATTATTTGTTCTTACTTTTATAAAATTTTAAATTAATTTAATATAAATTATCTTTTCCTTGATATTGCAAACGAGAAGGATACATGAAAAAAAAAATATATATTGATGGAGATTTAGGGGGGGTACTGTTTAAAAGTTTCAAGCTTTTTTAACAGAAAAAGAAACACACTTATTTATTATTATATATTATTATTAGTACTATATTTTATTATTAAATATATATGTGTCCATTATGGGGAATATTAATGTATTAAAATGACAAGGAAAAAAGTATTAATTTAAAATTTATAACAGATTATATATTTTTAAATATTTGGTAAATTCTATTTATATGTTATAAAGAAATTACTTCCTTTTAAGTAAATAATGTACATATTTATGTATAATTGGAAAAAATGACTCATTTTATAAGTTCACTTATTCTTGTTAACTCTGTGCATAATTATATATTATATAATAAAGGTTTCTTGGTAATTTACATTTTCACAAATGCTTAAAAGTTTTCTTAAATAAATTTAAAGTAATTTATATTATAAAACTGAATAAAGGAGAAAAATAAAGGGTTCTTTATGAACATAATATAATACCAGAAATCTTTGCACATTATATACGTGTTAGGGGGATTATTTTATTATGAACTCGGATTTTTTTAGGTGTGCGTTTTCGGCTTAAACGTAAGAAAAAAATAAAAATATGCTTTCTATTTTTTTGCTAATAACAAATTTAAAGAAATGTGACAGTTTTTTTTATTAAGTCTTATTTATTTATTTCCCTTGGAATTTATTACAATTCTAAAACGTCTAATATATATATAAATAAAAAAAGATGACTTTATTATTACACATTATAAAAAATACATATATTTACACTTTACATATATAATTAACCATAAATCATATTTATGGGCAGCTGTAATTAGTAGCGCATGTGTATTTACAATGCGAATCCATATAGCTTGAAAGTATTTTGTGAAAGAAATTTTATTATTTTCTACATGTCATAAAAGGAAATGTTTGGATCCCTCCATATATTAAAAGTAGTGTATATATAATAAAGGTGTAAAATATATACTTTTTTTTTCTTGTAAAATAAATTCAAGCAATTACCATGCTCCTGTAATAGTCGTCATGTTAATTTCGGTATTTAAAAAAACCTCATAATGAATCCATATATTATGCATGTTCCTCTATATTTAAACACTATGCTATGTTATTTTCAAATATATTATTTCCATATACACATGCACTTCATGTAATATATTATATAAAGGTACGATGCATATATTATATGCTCATTTAACAAATATATTAACACATATGAGCAAAATTTATTCTTGCATACTTTTTTATCCTCATTTATATTTAAAAGTTTTTAACAAAATATTTACGTATTTTTGATTTACAATATTTTTTCAGAACAAATAAATTAAATAAATGATTTTTTAAGAAAAAATTTTAACACTAAAAATAACTTCTTGAAAGAAAGATACCTGTATAAATATATGAAATGAAAATTATACCCTTATACATCAATGACATATTTACATACGTCTTAATGAAAAGTTATGTCCTATAATATATATATATATATATATACATACAAACATTTTATGTTTATATATAATTCTGAAACACACACATTTATCTCCCGTAATACTTAAAATTTAAAGCCACTAGATGGGGGTGGAGACAATATATGAATTCTGACCCTTTTTTACACTTTAAACTTTAAATTTTCATTACGTGCAATTCTGATGCAAGTATCTTTATCTACAAAAAAGAATAAACAGAACTAATTTTTGCACATATAAGTCCATTGCTATAAGAATTTTTTTCCAATATTACCAAAAAAAAAAAGAAAAAAAAAATTAAAAGTTCTTACATTCTCAATTGTTTAGTAACTATGACTACGCGTCAAGGGGGGTGACATATAGATTTAATTACATTCCATATTTCGCTAAATAAATAAAATCTATATTTTTTATATATGAAAAAATATACAAAACTAGTCATCCCACTGCGAGCCACACAACAAGTAAGCCGTATTTCTCCTATTGCATATACATTTTAAGCAAAAATTGATGTATAAATATGCTCATGATATTTAAGCATGCACACAATGTAACTGTGTTAAAAATACAAATATTGTTTATTAAAAGTAAAAAAAGGTTGTATTATTATTTTTCTTATTAAGACGAAAGAAAACAGGACAATGTGTGCCTGACAACAACTTAATTTTTTTAATTCTTTTTGTCTGATTAATGCAAAAAAAAGTCTTTTTAGCTTTTTTAGTTCTTTATTTCACTAATATGATTAAGTGCTCTCTTAAACTCTATATATAACATCAGGGTTGTTATTTATGGAAATAATTTATTTAAATTACAAATGAAAGACGAAATTCTTTTTTCTTATACTTCTTTGTGCTATAACATTCAATTATACTTCCAAGTTTTACAACTCTCACAAGATGAGGAATACAAAGGTTAAATGTATTATAAAACTTATTTCTAAAACCTACTAAGAAAATGGAAACCCCCTTTAAGATGGTAAGCACAAAAAAATTATATATAAACTTCATCTGTTATCTAAATGGAAAAATGATTAGCAAAATAACTTAAGGTTCTATATTTTGCCAAAGCTCTATGTTCTGTTCCAAATAAAAAAATACGTATATACATTATATATAATGAGTTCAAATGTGGAATAAAAATAATATTTTTACAAAATTCCACCAAAAGAAGTGTTCACAAATACATTTCCCAATGGAGGACCACAGAACACAAGTTTCAGCTCATTCAGAAAAAGAAATGTGTAAAAAAGCCATGCACCTTTCTGCAATGCGCAATGTTTAGGATGAACAATTAGGTATTTGCTATACCCCTATATTTATATATAGAAGTGACGCTGAATTTAAAATTAGAAGCACATTCAAAAGGGCAATAGGGAGACAAGGGGGTTGAGGTGACAAAATTTTCATGGCACTAAAATGGACAACGCCCATGATTTCGTGCTATCATAAGATATGCGTGTTTAATTAAAACCTCTTAAGGTGGATTCATGTGGGCAATATGCATATTTTGTAGGATTCTTATGTGTAATAGTAAAGTATAGTTTCTCACTAGTTTTGCTTTTTCTCAGAATGGTGTGCTATTTTGTTATTGGCTATTTGCGTGTTTTTTTTTTTTTTTCTCTTATAAAAATAAATTAGTTCGAACGCAAATATAAAAATAGACCCCTTTTTCATTTCTGTATGCTCAGGCATTTTTTTTTTTTATTATTTAAGTACACTTTTCTAAGGTAACAACATGTTATTTATTAATATTCCATTCAAAAGTGTGTAATTGTAGATGAACAAATATTCCTGCTCTCTGCACTTGCTTTATAAAATGTTGAACATGTATAAACTTATCAAATAAAGATTTTAAGAAGGAATATATTATAAATGTGACCTTCTATTTACACATTTTTTTTGTTCGCCAGGGAATTTAATGAAGGGTTTACCACAAAAAAAAAAATATTTATATACATACATGCTTATTATGTAATGAAAATGATCGCATCTATTAAAACCTGTTATCATTACATACTGTACCTTTTCGCTCAAGTGGGAAAATGAACAAGGAATGAAAAAAAAAAAGACAATTATGCGTCATTTTTTTTACAATTAATTTTTACATATGCACTCATAATGTTGATGCAGAATGGATAAACAAAAACAGAAAACTTGGACACTTTGTAGAAGCAAAGAAAATATAAAAAAAAATCTGTTCACAAAAATTAATATGATAAAAACGATCTTGCTCTTTCTCTAAAGAAGTACATTGCAGAAGTGCATTATCATCACACCCGAATATTACAATTAAACATTTGCACATATATATGGATTGTAAATAGAAAGGGGCTATTTACCAAAAATGTGTAAAATATTAGTACAATATATTAGATGATGGACTATATATTCCTACTTTTTTCTACTTACGTATATATTTATTTACTACGTATAATATATGGTGTGTTTCCATTCTTTTTAATTCATTTCAACATAGACACAAAATTGCATTGTCTAACCAATCTAGTTAGGGTTAAAAAAAAAATGTTACAAAAAAGATACTATTTATATTTTAAACAATGATGAAATAATCGCATATATATTGTTATATCATTTTAGGATGTTCACAAAATGCACTGCTATAGAATTAAAGGAAACAGTAGCTCTTATGAAAATATACATAAACGTTAAAGGATTTATATGTTAACTACACATATATATATACATAATCTTTCCTCTCTACCCTTCCACGTGTACATCCAAAGTTTGATTTATAACTTCTATTCATATCTTTTTTTTCTTTTATAAATGGCTATTAATTATTCCCCATCATGTTTAAAGTTCCCACTTTATTCCTTTTCATAGCATTTTTTTTTTTTTTCATATTAACAATGAAAAAATAGAATAAGTTGTAAGAATAGCCATGAATGGTGTACATTGTCTATTTTAACAAGCTACACCTTGGGTGAGCATAAAATAAATCCTCATTGAATCATGCAAAAATGTTAGGATTTGACATAAAAGCACAATGGTAAAAGTGTACACATATACATGTATATCTCTAATTTTTATTATATACTTATAAGCAAAAGCGTAGAATTATATACACATGTGTTAATATATAACATATTCTGATGATAAATCTACAGAGGTTCGGTTATTATGTATATTTTCTTGCTTTATATTTATCAATATATCCTTTTTACGAAATATAGGACTTTCATTCAAGTTTTCATTCCTATAAATTTCAATAACAATTGGATAGTTTTACATAATGGTGGATTTGCTTTATATATAAATGGGGATTTTTTGTAAAACCCTTTTTTTTGGATGTACATTTAACTGCTCAAAGGCTTTATTTTTCTCAAAACTATTTTTAAGAAATCTTCTTTCACTCTTTGTATTAACAATTTAAAAATTTTCACGCTTTTTTTTTTTTTTTTAATGCGCAGGGGGGGAAACAATATTAGCGAAAAACAATTTTTTATAACGTTTTATGAAAATTGGGCAAAAACTCGCTTTCTATAACATTGTAAAAAAGTGTAAATAATACAGTATTCATTGAGCAAAATAACTTATATATGAACTTCGAATTGCATATGTAAAACTCTAGTAATGTATGTATAGATATAGATACATATATATATATATATATATATATATATATATATATATATATATATATATATATATATATGTATTATAATTATAATACAACGCATGTCATAAAAGTGGAACAAAAAAAAAAAAGAAAGCGTAATTTTCTTTAAAAGTGTATATGCATATGTATAGCACCTTAGCAACACTCTTTTTATACATAAGCATGTATATATATAAGCACCTCTGTATAACTCATGGAAAACCCAATTTGTTTAAAAATATGTTAAAGCCTAGAGATGACATATGTATAATAATATATATATCTTAAGAAACGACATATGGGGGCGGTGAAAAAAAAAAATATACATGCATATAATATATAAGTACATATTACATATTCCTTTATTTTTAAATATATATATTTTTTCTTCCCCCATTTTTAGCAGATATTATTGAATGCACACTCATTAAATTATTTGCGCAAATTAATAGAAAGGTGGTAAAGAAATTACTTTATTTAAAATAATTAACTTTATGAAATAAATTCCTGTTGTAATTTAGCACAATCATAAAATGCATGAAAAGGAAAAAATTTTATTTCTTTTAAAAATATATATTTATATATATATAATATAGAAAAAGCAACACACAAGAAATAAAAAATAAAATAAAAACAAGAGGAGAGGGGGAAGTGTCGCTAGAGTTAAAATATAATAATATATAATTATTATATATATGTACAATGCCATATATATATAATATATATTTATTCATGCATGCACACTTAAAGAAGGGTTTTATAATTTAATAAGTATTAAGTGATGAAATTTTAATTTTAAATATTACAAAAATTTGTATTAATTTTTTTTTTTTTCAAGAGCGCAAAATGGCAAAAGCCATTCATTTAATATAAAATTGAAATTTTGTATTATACGCCACATAAAGTTAATTAAATTATTTATATTTAAATTAACTTTACCCCTCGACAAAATAACGAAAATTTAAACAAAGTAAAATTTGAATAAACAAATTATTCATAGAAATTAAATATATTTACGTTATTATGACGAATAAAAGCAAAAAGATAACACAAACATTAAAAAAAAAAAAATAAAGTTATAACAAAAATTTGCTTACTTTTAGAAAGGTGTTTTTGCCATTAAGTAAAAAAAAAAAAAAAAAGAATAAAATATACCTTTTAAAAAATATTAAAGGATTAGTTTTTTTTTTTTTTTTTCTTTTTAACAGAGGTATGTAATATATAATAATAATATATATACGTTATAAATATATATATACGTATGTGTTATTCATAAATTATACTATATTAAACAATATTTTTTTTAGAATTTTTTTTTAACATCTTATATTAAATCTATTCTCATTGCAGATTTTAATAATATTTTTTTTTTTAGCATTATTTTTTTTGCCATTATTTTACTGCTTTTTCGATAACAGAATTTATTTAACACAGATATTACGTGAAAGTATTACAGAATATCTATTATTAATTAGATATAAGAAACATAAAAACAAAAACAAGTATAAATAAGGAAACTATTTTTTTTAATCATCCTTATTAACACCTAAATTCATTTCGAATAAACGACAATAAATTATATTACTTTCCAATTATTCTACTCTTAAAAATGAAATTCACTAAAGTTTGTTCAGTTTTTACGCTTTTCCTTGCTGTAAAATTATTAACCCCCGAATGCTATTGTGAACAATTAAGTAACAAGGCCCACCCACATAATAATCATTCTCATAATAGTGCTAGTGGTAACAAGAACAATGCATCTTCAAATAACAATTCAGCCCCTACCAATTCAAGTTCATCGAACCCAGCATCAGGTAAAAGTGCAAATCAAGGAACACCATCAACCCAAGAAACTTCAGCAACATCAGCAAAATTAGAATCCCAAGGAAAAACTGTCCCAGCTCCAACCCCTGAACCAGTGACCCCACCAAAAGATAATGGGGATAAAGCAATTGATCAAATTGACGAACAAATTGAGAAAAAAAAGAAAAGCAAAAAATTATGTTTAATATCAGCAGCTGCTACAACATTGGCACTCCTAGTAGGAGGTGCATTAGGCTTCGGGATTTATAAAAGCAAAAAAGGAGCCAATACAAATGCAGAACCCACTATAAATGATAATACTCAACCAACAGCAGAATAATAATTAAATATTAACACCGTCTAATGTATACCATATTGTATACATATATATGTGTGTAGAAAAATAAATACGTATTATGTATACGGGTACGTACGTATATTCTGCTACGTTTTGTGTGGTATACATAGATGTGCAATATGCATATATAAAGACCACATATTGATGTTGCATGAAGGTATTTATTCAAGAAGCATAGAGGGAGAACTCATGAGATATTTTTTTCTTTATTTTATTATTTATTTATTTATTTTATTTTTTTTTACAGTTTTAAAAAAGTCTACCTAGAAAAAATGACTTTTAAGTTTTACGCATATAAGTTATTTTATTTTTTTTTTCTTTATTTCCCATAATACTTTTACATTTTAACGTCTTTTTTATTTTAGCATTTAATTATATATTTATTTTTTTAATATTAAAAAAAAAAAAAAAAAATCCTTCACACAGTTATATATATATTTATATTACTTAAATATATAAATAAATACATTACAAAAATTACAACCTAATGCTTACATATTGCATAGTAAATTTGTAATTATTTTGTGAGAGTAAAAGATCATAGAAAATTTTTGTACAAATAAAATTTTTTTTTTTTTTTTTTTTTTTTTTTAAAAAAGAAACTTTCATTGATTCCTTTAAGGAGGCGTACAAATTTTTCGTCTTCTTGGTAAATCATAAAGACCTGTAATATTTCATTAAGTTACCAGCTAAGAAGTGTTGTTCTTTACATAATATCTAAAAATAAAAAAGGGGTTTCTTCTATGTGTATAATAATATTCGTTTAGCATTATTTAGATCATTCATATTTTAATAGTTACATTTATAAAAATGATCCGTAGTTTATAATTTATTTCAACATTTCATTTTGGTTCAGCTTTCTAAATTATGATTCACGCATGTTATATTCCTATGTGTACTTCTATGGTGCCGCTCTTCGAAGACATACGTAGGGATAGGGAAATATGGTTGTAGAAGGTACATCTACCAATTGGAAACATTTAATAATCAATTGATAATTCTGTAAAACGAATATACTGTCTTTACTATTAACTTTTTAATTTTCTTATTTATAAATATTTTTGAGCAGTACTGTTGTAAGAATAAATATTCTACCACATTTACAGCAACGCAAAGCAAGAGAAAAAAGTTTTATTTATTTATTTTTTTTTTTTTTTTTCCTTTACCCCATAACTTCATGTAATATACATACGTGTCCATAATATGAATGAAGCTGCTATTCCAAAGTTCTTGTACATTCATGTATGGTAAATGTTTTCTTATTCAGGAATATTTTATTTAATCCCAAGTGAAACACATGTTATAATATATTAACATTTATAATAATCTCTACTTATTTACTAAATAAATGCTGTAGAATGAAATAGAACAAGCCGGTCGTATGGGTTTAGGTGTTATTTATATTTAGAATTTATTATAATGTTAAGTCTGCTTTCAGAAGTGGCGTTAATTTATTCCAAGTATAATTTTTTTTTTTTTTTTTTTAATTTTCTAATCCCACAGATTACTGCACTTACTATTTTAATATTTGTAGATGTTTCTTATTTGATAATTTTGTGTATGTATTCACTGACTATAAATCGTTAGAATTTTTCTGTACATGCGTTTCTACGTATTCAGATTCATAGGTAATTTTCACATGCTGCGTTACTTCAAGAATGATTCTTTCGTTTGATTTTCTTTTCATAGTATGAGTTTTTTTATTGGAGTTATCATACTCATCATTTTCCCCTTTCCATTGTGCAACCGCTCCTATAATTTGTTTATCAATTGTAGGTTCAATAAGCATAGTCTCATGATTATCAGGATTTCCACATTCAAGATTAAATTGTTTTTCTTTTTTCTTAGCCTTAGAATTATCACATATACAAAGACTATGCACTGTTGGAAGCCCCTTCTTAACTTTATTTTTTAAACGCTTGAATTGGGGATTTCTCTTGGGCATGGGTCCTAGGCAATTTACTTTCTCCTTAATTTTTTGTTTTTTTCTGGTTCATTAATGTTTTCACCCTCATGAGTATTGGAAAAATAATCACATAACTCATTATACGATTGTCCTATTGGTGTTTTCTGAAAAACAAAGAAGAGTATTATATTTTGGTAATATATTTTTTATTTATAAAAAAGGAATTCTAATTTATATAAAATAATAAAAAGACATGTTGAAACATCATTGGTGCATAACATAAGCAACATTTGTTCTTATATCGTACAAAGTCTTTGCAAGATGAATTGCGATAAAAAGGAAAATGAAGGGTAAAAAGAACATAAAAATATTTAGCAAGTATTTAAATTCTTTTCCCTCTCTTCTATATATGTAACCCGATGTACCTGTACTTGTATCATTATTGAAATTAGGAGGAGATGTGTTAGCACCAAATAAGGATTTTGTAGTGTTATTTTCGTTGCCCCAGAATGAAGAAATCATATCACTTATATTATTGTCAACAGTTTGAACAGCTCCCCTAACAGTACTATTAGCTACGCTGTTGGTGAGTGTAGTTGCTATTTGGTTTTCATATGGTGCAGATGCATATGAAATGAAATTAGTAAATACTGGTGTTGAACTCAAAGTATCGTTGGTTAGTTGTGTAATATTTTCATAGAGAGAATCACTTTCTAAGTTGTATCCATTATTCATTTTGCTACTCAATAATGTTTTTATAGAAATACAGTGAATTATCTCGTGGAAGTGATATTAATCGAAATTTTAAATAGAGTCACTTAAAATGCAAAAAAAAAAAAAAAAAATATAAATAAATAAAAAAAAAGATGCTATAACGTGCTCTTATAAATGTCAGCTGATTACAAAATATTAACAAGAACGTATTAAAAAAATGTGTAAATTGTGTAATTCTTTTAAAAAAATCTTCATTATTTTAAAGCATTTTTAACATTTGGTTTACAAGTGGAAAATCACAATGACAACATAGAAACTTTTTTTCAAGATGGAATTTGTTTGCTTGCTTGTTTTTTTTTTATAATAAATATTCATTTATAAATATTTATTTTGATCGAATATGTAAAATAGAATATATCTATTTAGAAGAAAAGTAAATTAAATATAAATTAATGTGGTCTTAAATTTTTTAAACGAAAATGTGTACGATCAGAGAAGCACAATGAAAATGGAACTAATAAATGTAAAAATGAAATTCTTTTGAAAGAGGTGTATAAATAGTCATATTTTTACATAAAAAAAAGGCTTTTTATTTTAATTTACATTTTATGATTGTGTTTCCTAAATGTTATTTCATATTAAACTCTTACATCTAATTCGTTTTGACCATATTTTTATAGCAAATTTTTTTTTTTTCTTCTTCTAGGAACCATGTTAAATAATTAGTTCATAGTTTTATTATTTACAGCATTTTCCATTTTAATTACATAATATTATAAAAACTTTTCTCTTTTTCAGTTTATAAAACTTATTTTTTATTTTTTTAATTTGATTACACTATAGATTTATGTTTATTTAACTACAACAATTTTATCAATTGGTGCCTTATGTTACTAGATGAAATCTAAAGCGTTGAATTGACCACTTGAGGAGACGTATTAATGTGTGCTCTAGTTGACCCGAAAATAAATAAAAACTTTTGTTTGTATTGTGGTTAAACATATAATTTGTGTTTCAAAAACGTATTTTTGAGATTTATTCAATGTATGTGCAGCATGTTGTGATGTTTTAAGAGAGGACTAGAAATTAGTGGTATGGGTAGAAAATACGAAAATGGGCACATGTTAATAGATACATATTTTTATACATATTATTTTATTATTATATTTACTTTAATTTTTTTTTTTTTTTTACATAACCTACTTGTTAAAATACGCACGTGGAGAAGTAAAATATTACAAAAGAAAATAAAAAATTCAATTTAAGCACAATGCCATTGAATTTTTATCGTTTTTTGCAACAAAAAAAAAAGGTTATAATTTACAAAACGCTCGTATAATACATGAGACCACTTAGTGAAAGAAAGCATTATATTTTTATCCTACCCATGAAATTTAAAATAATTATTTAAAAGGAGATAACTACAGAAATAATATAAGTGTGTAACCCATAGCAAAATAAAATGTGCGTTCGAAAATGAAATTGTAATTATAACTAATTAACACATTCTTGTGATTGTCACATAGATAAAAAAAAAAAAAAAAGAAATTCACGACACACTCTGCAGATTAAGTATTTTAAAAAGACTTTTTAACACACAAAAATATATTTAAAGGGAATGAAAAAAAATAAACATTATATTCCCATACTTAGCATTTTAAAAGCAAAATAAATATTAGAAAGCTTTTTTAAGAATCATAAAAAAAGAGCTAAAATTATATGTTTCATAATAAGGAGGGTTGCATTTGTACATAAATTAAAATGGCCAAAAAAAAAAAAAAAAAAAAAAACGAAAATGTTAAAAATATATGTTTTCTATAATTTTAATCCTTTTACTTTTATAAATTCTTAAGATATTACGATAACAGTTTAACAAGTCCCATGTTCCAATGTTTTTCGCAATATGAATATGTGTAAACATATTTAGGATTATATTATGTACATCACAGAGAACATTTTTTCCATTTTTAGTCTGTTTCGAATTATTTAACAAACGAAATGATTGAGAAATATGCAGGAAGATCACGATCGCATGTTCATATTTATGTTTATGCCATTATTAGGGAAGCTCAATATAGGAAGTAGAAGGACATGCTACTTTTTTAAAACATGTTTTATTTTCGGGAAAAAGGTAAAAGAAGTGTAAAAAAAAAATTCATATACCGGATTCGTTTGTATATAACACTTAATGATTTACTTGAAAAAAACAGAATTTAAGGAGATGAACGAAACAATATAACTTGTAAATGCCTTTGTTTCATTTTAGAACAAAATTCGGTAATTCTTGAATGAAAATAACGCATATTAATTTGAACAATCTGGAATGAAGATGTTTGAACGAACTAAATATGTATACATATATATATATATATATATATATATATATATACATAGATATGTGCTTATTTTTGATCTAAAGAGTAGATTTGTTTTACAAGACACAACACGAGACTCCCTCATTGCTATCTACTGAATTAATTCACTTAAATAAGGGTTAGGCACTACTAATATTTTCCTAGTTAGGTAGATAATTTTATATGAAATTATTATATCTCTTTTTTTTTTTTTTTAATTTCGTTATAATAAATACTTGTTTTTTTCATTTTCTCGTATGTGTAAATAAAAATATATTGTGTTGGATCCAAATCTCCAACAATTTTAATGTAATTAACAAAATTTGTACAAATGCGTTATAGACTTAGAAATTATGTACATTGTGGTACAATAGAGATGAACGGCATCCATATTTATTTTAGAGAATACTTTATTTCTTATGCATATGAGTAAAAAATTATTCCATTTATTCTTCTGTATTAGAGTGTCTATGGAAAATAAAATATTATCATGTAATTTTATATAATTTGAAGCAAATGATTTCTTTTTTCTTAATTTCTAACATTCCAAAGCTCATAATTTCAAGAATGCGAATGTGATAATATGAATAGCTCATATTAAGTGTGTGGGGGGATATTCTAGTCAAACAAGTAATAAGGACATAATTGCTGAATTAGTTAACAAATATTATAAATTTAATTGGATGCATTATATAAACAGCTATGAATTTATATCTTTATATATAGACTGTTAAAATTATACTATAGTTAATCTACTTAGGCTGTATTAAATTACATTTACTTATTTAAAATATAAATGCACTATTTGTGAAAAAAAAAAAAGGAAAAAAAAATTTATCTTATTTTTCTAAGATAGACAAAAGAGCATGCAGATCATAACATGACATGCAGTGATAAGAGCACATAATTTATAATTATATAACTATTGTAATTATTATAAAGAGCTATTTAGATATTTTAGGTTACAATTATGTAAAAATAATAGCTTATTTTGTGTCATATTACAACGAATGTGGTAATTTTTTAAAAACATGAAATGACAAAGAGTAATGTTAAAGGAAATAAAGATGATTATGGCAGATGATCATGATGGACCTATCGGTTTCTTATTCTAAAATTAGGGTTCTCTTAATTATATATACATGTATATATATATTTATAAATTTATTTATAATAGTTTAAATTTTCTTATATCATGAAAATACGTACTCATGGTGCATTGACTTAGAATTAATTCAGGGATCTTCTGATCATATTTTGATTAATTCATTTTTTCATAGTGATACAATTACAAAGACTAATTAATAAAAGGGGGAAAAAAATTGGATAAAAAGCCATACACTTAAAATGATGTTCAATTTTTTGTTAAATAGTATTTCCGACGTGGCAAAAATAATAATAGAATATGACACTATATTCCTATTTCTTTTATCAAATTTTATTAATAATGTTTATTGCAACTAGCTTTTAAGGAAGTAAAAATTTATCGTTTTCATACATATTCTATATGAAATAGTTATAAATAAGGATCTACTTTGCTTCGCCCAAATGACGATATGCTTATAGCCCTATTATATAGAATACTTGCAATTAATTTTAGATTACTAGGACACATTTTATGTAAAGGAAGGTGTTATAAAAATACAAGAAATGAATGTAACAGAAAAAAAAAAAAAAAAGGTAGCAGAAAATGTGTAAATATTGCACTGAAATTAGATGTGTCTTTATACTGCAAAATGAGCCATTTTAATAATTTCTTAATTACATATAGTCAATGATGAAAATATGAATAGAAGGAATTTTTCGATTTTATATAAAATACAATTTTAAATAATATTAATGCTTTATAAAAATGATATACAAACTATTGCAGATTTTTTTATAATGTTTTATAAATTATTTAAAAATCCTTTTTAAATTTTATATGTTATATACTCCAAATATAGTAGAAATAGTGTAAGTATCAAATCTTATGCATAAATATAAGTTAAAGGTTTGTTATGTTTTACGTCATGTAGAATCATGAATGTAGGAATAGGAGAATCAACTTTATGTTATTATGTGCATATTATTGATATATATGAAAGGATGTTACTACAGGGAAGTTAATAATGGAAAGAATAATTATTATATATATTTATTTATATATATATCAATGCCAGATATGAAAATAAACATTTTTTTGACATATACATTTGTTAAGAAAAATAAAGCCATTACTTTCTAATTTGATTTTTTTCTATAATAATGAAATTCAGAATAGATCAAAGAATTAAAAGATGATTATTTAGTTGCATCAATTTTCCGTCACATTTTATAAAAAATTAGGGATATAGGACAAACTACACTTTGTGTCATAACTACAAAATTATCTATAATCAAATATATAGAATGTGATATTTTTTTTGTAATAATACTGTAAATATATGCTTATTTTCTTCTATTTGTGTTCTTTAAACTAGTAAGGCAATATAGGCATAATTCAAAGAACAAAATTGCATCTGTATATATATGTGATTTATGTCGTTAGGTAGTATAAAGATTCATTTTATATTATGGTTAAATTATGAAATATTTTCGTATAATTATTTCCAAATGAGAATATTAACAGAAAACAGGAGATCATTAACACGTGTGATGATGAAAAGTTTTATAGAACTCGGAAAAAATAGTAACATACATTTGCATTACTGCTTGAAGAGAAACTAAATGTGTAATGGTGCACTACGTTAACAATTAGTTTTTATTATATCCAATTCTTACAAGTTATAAAAAGTTGTGAAATGGAAAGTTGTTTCAGACACATTCATTATGAGAGAATAATACGGTAACTTCAAAAATACTATACATTCAGAAGTTATAGATTACTAATTTGGTTGTTGCGAAATAGTATGGTTCTGTAAAATAGTATACACATATATATATAGTGAAAGATACAGAATTAAATAAAAAGAGATACAATTTTTTTTTTTTCCCTATCTCTCTGAAGAAAGCTAGATGAATCTAATTCTTCAATAAAAGGACACAGACATGAAAAGAAACGAAAAAAAAAAAATTGTAGATTGCATCGTCCAGGATTTAATTATATATGAACAATATATATTAAGAACAATTAAGATACTTGGTTTTGTGGACACCTATGTTACATGAAAAGGTTTTTTTATAAGAATTTATTCACGTTTCTTATATATGCCCCATATATACTACATAATAATTGTATTATCTTAACACTGATAATCAGATCAAGAATAATAATAAAATTTTCTTATAACTTGCAGTCATTCCATAAGTAAAATTATAAAAAATTTTAACCAAATACTATACATGAATTAAATGATATATAATCCTTTAAGCATAGGTAATAAATTTATACTTTATCCCAATAAAGTACTTCTGGAAAATGTGTATTTTTATTTTTATAAAAAAAATTTTGAAATATAGAAAAACAAGGTTCAAAGAAATGAACTAATAAATATATTGTGCATTCCGTATAATATAAATAAACAGAGATGATTAATGTATTAAAGTAACAAGTAAACCAGTAGCTAGGAAAAGCCAAAAAGAAATATCTCTCACATTAGGGAAACTGTTATGTCTACTACAACATATTATAGCTATATGTAAAAAGAGGATTGTCTTTTTTTTTTTTAAACTAAAAGACAGTACTAATAAAAGGCAAAAGAAAAATTCTTTACATATATTTTATAGACAGAAAAATATACTTATTTAAAATAGGGAATTTTCTCCCACATTAATAACGATAAAAAATATGTAAGGCAAAAGGTGCTTAAAATATTAATAACTGAACAAGCTAGGTAGGTCATAATATATATTAAATTTGTGACAAGTAAAATAAGCATAAGAATTTGCCAAATAATTTCCCTTAAATCTTTTTATTTCTTAATAATCATCGGATGTTTTAATGTTTTTAAATGAATGAAAATATAAGAAAAAAAAAAAAAAAAAAATATATATATAAATAAATAAAAACGTTACACAAAATCGAACACAGACATATTGCTTAAAAATAAATGACAAACCTATACGTTATAACACACGAATAATATAAAATATATGAAAAATAAAAATATTTGTTATGTATTTATGTATAAAAAATGAATTATTATTAGTAGAAGTAGTGGTTTGTAGGTAAAATTATTATATATAATTAACTACTGATTAAATATATATAGCTAAAAAATATAAATCCTACATTATCTATTAACAAAATCATAAAATGAGTTAAACATATTTTTTTAATTATACAAATAAAGAAAAAAATTTAATTAAAAAATTATTACAAAATTGCTTAATTTTTTATTAAAAATATATATATATTTTTTATATATATATAACAAAAGAAATGTTATAATTTTTCTGCACATTTAAAAATCTGCATTAACTTTGGATATTTTGTCGGAATAATTTATTTAGTGTTTTTTTGATTTATTTCTAAGATTTCCTTTTTTGTTAAAATGTTTGTACAATCTACTCATTCTGTTAATTTTTTCAAATTTATATGCATAGTATACTCCCATTGCAACGAATGTCATTGAAAAAAAGGTAAATATATATGGGAAAAAAAGGCTCTTAAATACCAACATTATCATTAAAATCGCCATATTGAAGGTTGGTGGTAAAAATATTCTCATTTTTCTCAGAACGTGTTGGTATTTTCCATCGTCACTCTTATATTTGCACTCTTCATAGTCAGAAAGTGATTTGTCTTTCACCATACGAATTAATTCGATTTCAAACTCTTTGTCTAATCTTCTTAATGTATCCATAAATCCATTTGAATATTGTTCTTCATATTTAGGTCCTTTTGAAACCATTTCTTCAAGAGATTCAGGTTTCAATTCAACACCAAAGATACTAATTCCGGATGAAGTTGATTTACTGTCTTTGCTTGAGATTTTTGATCCTTTATTTGATTTTTTTGATTTACCATATTTTTCTAAAGCCATTTTTGATTTGGTAGGTTTTTCAGTTTTGGATTCAACATCATCTTCATCATCGTAGAAATTGTCAAGGTTGAAAGAATTCCTGTTTTTTTTTTTTTTCTCAGTTTTTTTTTTGAGATTATCAATGCTTTTTAAGTCATCAAAAGATAAATCAAAATTACTCATACTTCTGCTCAAATCATCGAAGCTCTTTTGAAAGGTTTCATCATGGATTAATTTATTAAATCTGCTTCTAAACACATCATCCTTAGCTAAATCATTTAAACGTTTTCCAAAAGCGTCATCATCTTCACCCAATATATCAATAATTTTATGTTTTAAATGTGCATAATCTCCTAATTGTGCTCTTTCTACTGCAGTTTCACCTAATAATACTCTGCTTGTTCTCATAGCATTTAATCCATTACCCTGGTATTCTGTATTTTCCCATGATTCACCAAAGGCACATGACTAAAAATTAAAACATTGCATATATTACAATATGTAGATATACATATATGTATTTATATGTTTTTGAGTTGCTTTTACTTGACAATAAAATATATGTGTAAACAAAAAAAAAAAGAAAAAAAAAAAGAAAGAGGGCGTTACAACAGTAACAATAATATAGTACATAGTATATATGAATTCATGAAACATAATTTATATTTTCATTTTATTTAGAATTTTTACATACAATTACTAAAAGGGATGAGGTAAAAACTCTTGAGAAAACTGAAAATTTGTTGTTTTTTTGTTCCATGTTGAATAGGGCTTTATAAGTAATAATTTAAATTATGAAAAATGTTATAATTAAATTATTATTTTCTAAATTGTTATTATGATACTAATCAAAAGAAGTTTTGTAGATTTATTTTTTAGAAGTTTTGTTTATTAATTTATATAGAATATTTTTAAAATTATTTAATTTAATTATTAATTTCCTATATTAATTTATAAAAAAATAACTTATAGAATAACTTTCACAAAAATGTTACAATAATATATGGTTTTAAAAAATGTATTATTATTAATTATTAAAGCAATTTAAATATAAATTAAATAAACAAAAAAAAAATAAAATAAAATAATAATAATTGTAAATTAGGGAACTTTTTTTTTTTAATATAGAAAAATAAATATACGTTTCCACTTGTGAAATATTAAAAAACAAATTATCACCACAATTAACTGGTTATTTATGAGAAATATATTATTGTAAATAAAATTACGAATAAAATTATAAATAAAATTATAAATAAAATTACAAATAAAATTACAAATAAATAAAATTATAAATTATAATATTTTATAGAAAAATTAAAAGTTTTAGGTTTTTTTATTCTTAAAATTTATTCATTTTGGTTACAGGAAAATAAAGAATTTTTATTTCTAATTAATAAATTTCTACCCTATTTTACATTTTTTAAAACAACACAATTTATTCATTTGGGAAAAAAAAAAAATAAATAATAAATAAATTACATAAAAATACAAGTTCTTTTTAATTTTTATAAAAATGCAGTTAAATTTTACAACATTGAATATTTTAGTTTAGTTGTAATTAGATAGGTTGTTGAAAGCGTGAACCTAAAAGATCAGAATATATATATAAATATATTTGAAATTATTTTAGCTTAGATATATACATGCATTTATTTTCTTATTTAACACCTAGAGTAGAGAAAAAAATATATATTAAGTATTTTTATTTGCAGATGTAAATTCTATTGCTGCTATTGTTACAATTTTAATAATTCTAAATAATACAGTAAAGCAATTATATGCAAAAAAATCGTAGTTTATTTTTTAGGTAATTTTGATTATACACTGCATTATTGATTTTTTAATTGCGTAATGAATTTTTTCTATGGAGATTCCAGAGTTATATATGCGCAAAAAATAATGATTTAAAAACAGGTATAATGAGATGTAATATACATTATAGTACGTGCAAAAATATTCTTATATATTATAAAAAAAAATTATAATTAAAAAGGTAAACATTATGTTCCTAAAATAATTTTTATTATATTTTTGCGAATCTGCTTTACCAAAGCAAAAATGTTTGTGTACCAATTTGTTCTTATATATGTTAATAAATGGTGACATTAATCATATAATTATACTAATTTTATATAAAATGATACATTAAAAATATTCTAAAATAAAAAGGGAAAAATATAATGAAATAAAAAATTGTTAGTAAAAATAATATACATTGCACATTATAGAAATTTAGTACTAGCAAATAATTACTAAAAAAAGTTTTTTATTAATGTATAACGTTGTTCTATTTTCTCGTTAGTGTATTCTTAAAAAAGCATTACTTGTAAACATTACTTTTTAAAATGTTTTTTATGGTAGCATGAGGAATGAATAATAAATACTGTAAATATACATGTTGTCAATTAGACTTAGGGTAGGTAATTTTGTACAAATATTTCCATCATTTATTTTGTACACATACTGGATGTGCTGAATGCGTATCAGTAAATGAAGGTAACTTGGGGTCTTATAATATCTCATAAATTGTAGTTTCATTTATTTAGATATTTCTAGGATAATTTTTCACATATATTTTTTATTATTAACACATGTATTCATCATAAGACACAAGTGTCATAATTGATATTATGAAGTGTATTATTTTTTATCCACCAAAAATGGTTTAGAACAAAATATATTGAGGTTTATGTAATTATTTAATTAGTATATAATGCGTTCGTACATTTTGAATGTAAACAGAATGGTAATATATTTCTATTGAAATAATTAGTGTATTTTTTAATGATCAGTGTACAAAATATATTTTAACAGGTGTTCTCAAGTGTTTTACTTTAAATTTTTAAATATGATAAAATTTGACTTTTATATAAACGAAAATATCTTTCAAAATATATTTATAGTAAAATTCCATTAGATTCTTTTTTATTCTTGAAACATTTATACACATATCATTCACATTTAAGATTAAATGGTGTGAGTAGCTCTCCTCGTTTTAAGGTTTAAATTGTATTGGACAAGTATAGTTCTTAATCAGGGGGTGTCGGATTAATTGTTAATTATTAAATTAGTTCACGCATATATATGTTCATAAACACGCAAAATGTTACACATCAGGGGAGACAAGTTTAGAACAAAGTGATTAAACTACATATACATATATGTGATGATTAACCATTAATTCTTATTGTATATAATATATTCCAACCACCACAAACATATTTAATTTCTGTACACGTGTATAAGTAGCTAATTATCTTAAAGATCTTTGTCTACTTCTTTTTTTTTTTAATGTTAATCCAGTATACATTTCAGATTTTCATAACAATTATTACATTTACAGCTGCTTTGAAAAATATGACTAAAATAAACGTTTGAGGAAGGGTTTTTTTTTATAATTTTTTTTTTCCCCATGATTTCATATGTTATCTTAAAATTGCAGAAACGTAAAAAACACAATCTTTACATAAAGTTCGAAATTTATGATTTTAGTTTGTATTTGTGCATTTTTATTATAATTGTAATTACATAATATTTACACTCTCTGAAAAAACTAGATGTGTCTTTAAGAAAAAGTTTACACATCCTCGTAATTTTAATTTTGATCGTAACTTAAAGTAAGATGTAAATTGTGTTTAATCGGTAAGAAGTATTAAAAAGGAGGCTACAGAAATGATAATAGAGGAAAAAGGGGACACTTGAGAATGAATATATTATAGCTTATTTTTACATATTATTTTCACAACTGCTTTATTTTTATAGAAAGCTAAAAAATTTGGAAATATGATTTACTATCTCCATACATACTCTTTAAATAAAATGTTGCCTTGGGGATAATACACACTTTCAATGACTTGCGTTCTTATTGTTTTGAGGCATTAAAAATGAAAGTGTAAAAAGAATAAAAATATTTTATATTTGTAAAAAATAACTTGTAAGGAAAGTAAGAACCTTTTGAAGGAACCATTCCATTTAGTTCATATGTGACTAAAATAATTAAAAAACATTTCATCATTTCTAATGCATCTGTGGATTGATAAAGTGGGGAAATTTTGGAAACACTGAATTTGCCCTTAAAAATAATGGCTTATGTTATAGAATTGTAAATACATTTTTGTGACTAAAATTTTCTTAATGCAAGGAATAAATTTCACACATAAGGCACATATATATATATATACATGCATACAACGTAAGGATAGAACGATTATGCATGAAAGTATTAGACCTGATGTTTACCTATTTATAGGTTGTTAAACAGGTTATAAAATTTATCACACCTTACAGACTACTGGAAATTATTTGGAAATCCACTCCAAATTGAGGAGCCTTTTTTTTTTTTTTTCTTGACGCACTTAGTTATGGGTGTAATAACCTCTTTTTTAAATCTTAATAATTTTGGTAAAAATGGCTTGCTACAACAATATGAAGTGTCATATCTTCGCATGTAAGTACATTTTAAATCAAATAATGTTTGAAACACCTTGAATAGGTATTTTTACAAAGTCATAAATATTTTTGCGTGTAATATAGGTCAAATTTTAAAAAAGTATTCATGGTATTCTTAAAAACAAATTATACGCGTGGATAATATGCATTTCCTTTAAAAAATTCATGTTCTCTACAGTATATGTAAGAATAAAGATTTCGAAAAAATATAAACATAATGTCGCATGACACAAAAGGGTTAACATTTTGGAAAAAGACAATACAATATATAGCACTCCTTTTAATTCATATTAAATAATAAGGAAATATATGAAAACTTTTTTAAAACAGATAAAGAGTTAGTAATAATGAAATAGTGACACAGGAAAGATTTTCCTCGTACCTTTTCATCATCAGAAAGGTGAAAAAATTGTGCATTTCTCATTAAAAGTAAATACATAAATATATATGCTTAACGCTAATATAATATGGCATTTTATTATAGCACGTTTTGTTTACATTTTTCTTTTTAATATCATGCATATTGAAATTTTAATTAATTAAAATAAAATCGTTCTTAGGTGGTGAATTAAAACACCTTTTTCTCACAAAATAGGGTTTATGTGTAATCGATGTTTAAAGTTATAATTTGCAAAGAAAAAAAAAATAATTTTGTAATTTTCTTTATTTGTTCAACACCATATTGTCCATTATATAAAAAAAAAATTCTTTTTAGGGATGATATTTTGGCCTTAAAGTTTAATACAAATGAGAGTAAATAACATTATTCGCATTCTTGGCAGATTGTTTTTTCAATAGCAATAATAATGGATAGGTTAAACCTTACATTTTATCAAAGAAAAAGTATGCATAATAAAAAAGAAGTGTGAAACATGAAAAAAACATATATTTCTGTGACTGTTGAACATTTCAAATACAAGTTTTTTTTTTTTTTTTTTTTTTTATTGGGACACAAATCATTTATTTCTTTTGCAACACATTACATAATTAACACAAAATAAAAATCAAATGATTAAACACTGAAAAAAAAAACAGCTGAAAATAAAGTGTTCCTTTTTTTTTTTTTTTTTTTTTTTCATTATTACAGAAATACTTATAATATTATAATTTAATAACTTTGAATATTATTTTTTACACTTAACATAATCCTAAATAAGTAGAGTAAAAATTAAGTTTTAACATCGTTTATGATCATAGAATAAAAATACATAAGAACAATGATTTTTGTTACGTGAAAAAAGCATTATCATATATATTTTTTTTTTTAATGTGTGTTTATTTATATTTTATTAAATAAGGAAAAAAAAAAAAAATTATAAATTTTCTCATTTGCAGACGTTTCACGCTCCTTTTTTACGTACTTGTATAGGTACAAATGTATTTTTGAAAGTATGCTAATTGAATATAGTACAAAATAATAATTAGAAGCTCACTTATAATATTTTGGAACTATAACAACTATAATATAAGGGGCCTTTGTTTTTATAAATACAAATATAATATATTAGACATATGTTAATATGTAAAACGATCGACAACAGTAATATAGCAACAGGGTCTACGAAAGAACATATTCTTAAAAGTGGTTAAATGATAAACGAAATAACCGCAGTTTAATAATCATCTGCATATCATTGTCAGTGAACAATAAAATTGACTTTATGTATGTTTAATATATAAAAATTGAAAATACGCTAAACAACAGATTAAATTTATTAAAAAACATTGTATATTATTCATTCACTAGAAATATTAATGCCTTTAGAATTAAGTATATTTGCAGCATATTATAATTATATATATATATTCCTTTTTTTATGAATTTATTTGTAAGTGCAAAGTGAAAGAAACCGCTTCAAAAAATAACGGGTTATTATATTTAAAAAAAAAAAAAATAATATTTAATAGAAAAAATAATAATTAGGATTTAGATATATATATATATATATATGATGTATATCCATCATATTCACCTTTATATATTTTTTTAACATGAATTATCTTTAACGCGGTAAAAAGGGAAGTGTTTTAATCAACAATATATTTTATAATTAAGAATATAAAATATAAATGTGAATAAAAAATAAAATTAATACAGTGGACAATTTTTTGAATCGCGTTATGCAACGAATAAAAATGTAATAGCAATATATTTATTTTCTCATTGCATTTTCTGGCTTATATTCACAAAAAAATTTATAAATTATTCGAGAAAAAAAGAGCTTAAATAAAGCGATTTAAAAAAACGACATAAAAATAATCAAGAAATACTAATAAAATTTGTAGAAAAAATTATTAATTTTTGTCATTAAGTATATAATAAATTGCATATATATATAACTGTAAAAAAATTAGGAATCCTTATCAATTAGTTTATAAATTATTTTTAACAACCCATTTGACCAAGAAGGATTTAAAATTTTTTATTTATTAGTATTTCTAATTTTTTGTAAAAAAAATTGTTCATTTTTTTAGAGATTATTTCAAATTAATGTATAACCTTTTAATGTATTTATTTTGATTAAAGAGATATTTTTGATTTCTATTTTTTTTTTTTTTTTTTTCTTTTTTTTTTTTTTTTTTAATTATGCATTAAATTTAAAAATAATAAATAATTTGTGTGAATAATTCATGGGATAAAAATGTATTTTTTTTTTGGAGTTTGTACTTTAAACATGCATTTTAAAAGATTTTAATTAAACGTGCAAATTTATTTTATACTTTATATTTCTATATAACTACAGTATTAAAAGGCACAATAATTTGTCTTGAATAACTGTAGAAAAGGATAGAGCTTACAAGTCAATATAGTTATAATTTTAAAAAACAATATATCCGAACATTCAAAATGAGGAACCGCAATATATCAATCTATAAAAGTATAAGAGGAAATATATTTTCCGTTCTATTAAGCGCTATTGCTGTGTCCCTTGTGTTTTGGAATACAGCTAACCGTTGTGATATGAGGTAATTTTTAAAAGCTCAAGATTGCCTTTTGTATATTTATGTACAAATATTTATGTAAATGATCATATGCATATATGAACATGCACATTCGTATGAATGTGTAGATATATATGCATAGCATTAGGTCTTATTTCATACTTAAATTGATGCGCCAAGCGGTATAATATTGAATGTTTCTTAAAAATTTAATTTTCTTCTGTAGAAGCGCTGCTGTGTGTACTAGCAATGGAAAAAATCTGTATGAAACTAATAGAGGAGGTCGATTAGAAAGAATTCTGAGATCAGAAAATACAAATATATTCCAAGAATTATCAGATCTATACGACCAACCACCAAATAATGTAATGGATGGTATGATAAATGTTTCTGGGTTAGGTACACCACTAAATATTCAAATTATACAAGAACAGCAACAGATATATGAAGAACAGCTAGATGAACTAATTGATAAGATAACTGATACTTGGAATGATACATTTATAAGTATGGTAGAAGATTACATTGATTTCACAGAACGAAATAATATTATAGATGGAGAATGGAAATGCCAAATGTGGAATCAAAGATGGTATAGATATTTACAATATGTAGTTGGTAGTTTAAATGAAGTAATTCAAAACGATAATTATCCCTTAGAAACAAAGGAATACATTTCAGATGAATTCCTTAATTTGGCCCACCATGATTTTATATGTTTTTTAAGCGTAGTTAAAGAACAATGGGATAATAGAGTTCAATCAATTGGAACACAAGAAGTACGAGCATAATTTTGAAATACAGCTGTATACCTTATCAGTAGGCATACAATAGAGTATCTTTAAGCTGCTTATGAATAAGAGACAAGAATATTTTTTTTAAAACCGTTTATATAACATTAATGTTATAAATTTATAATTCGACCATAGCTAAATTTTAGCATATAAAAAGAATAAAGTGGACGTGCTGTATATATATATATATATATATATATATATATGTAGTCATATTATATTGTTCCTTTTATTAATGAAAATAAGAATTTATCTCATCCAGAAAATATGTATCAAAGTTTCTTAATTATAATTCTTATTTTTTCTTTGATATAAAATAATTTTCGTTCAATAATTTTACGACTAATAATGATGTGACATATTCAGAAATATGTATAAATACAATAATTTTATAGGTTTTCTATTTATTATTATTTTTTTTTTTTTTATTGAGAAAAAGGATCAAAATTGTTTTTCAAAGAAAAAAAAAAAAAAAGGAATAATATAAAGTTTCATTTTAATAAATTATGAAATTTTGTAAAATTGCGAAATATAAAAGCGTTAAAAATATTGTGATGTGGGGGAATGTGTGATAAACATTGTTTTTCTCCAAATTTGTTCAGCTAATACTAGTATGAATAGTTCTATTATTTCATTTTTTTTTTTCTCTACTTTTGAGTAAATTTTATATATATTCTTGAGAATTCAGGAATTTATTTATTACAGAAGATACATATATAAGCTGTAGAAAATAATTGTAAAAGAATAAAATTTATATGTGTACAATGGATGCACAAGAGATATCCATTTGATAAAAAGACATTCAGATATCTTCAGATATCCATATTACACATTCGATTACTTATTACTGGGAACAAATGAATATGAAGTGTAGTAAATGAAATATGCTTCAAACATATTTGGACAAGTTCAAAACGATTTATTTTAAGTGATATTAAAACAAAATAAAGAAAAATATAACAAGAAAGAAACATGAAGTAATACAAGAGACAAAAGCATATATTTACAGCACAAGAGTATTGAAAACATAAATGATTTTCCAGATATTTGAATGAAAAACCATATGTATAGTGTCAGTAAACGTATTAATATAAGAATTTTGCTTATATACACTCTTCTATTTATCTTAAAAGAAGACAAACGTTTGAACTTTAAAAAACATGTATGAAATCATAAACATAAAGAGTTTGTGTTGTCAGTATATATATATGTGTGTTATATATATATTTTTTCATTTTAATATTTATGGAGTCAATGCAACAAAAGAGTAGAGAAATAATTTTTTTTTTATAAGCTGTAAAAATTTAAATTTACAGTTGGTATATTTATATATATGTACCTAAGTGAGGTGTATTTTGTCTTTTTTATATTTTTCATGATAAATGTTTACCTTATTAACGTAATACTTTTGTTTATTTGCTTTTATTTGTTTTTATTTTTATTTTTTTTACTACAGACAAACATATTTTCATCATATGATTATTTGTCTTATATTATGGTTGTGTTATTTGTTGTCATTGGATATATATATATATATACTATATATAAGCGAGATACTGGTTAAACTTATGTATTATTTTAAAATGCTCAAAACATTTATTTAAATTATTCAACACGTTTCAAATTATAAAAAAATAACAGAAACTAGTAGATTATTAAAATGTAAACAGCGATATGTACATATGCATTTATATTTACACAGGAATGCAATTTTTTGAAGATTATATAATATTATAACGAGCCTTCAAATTTCTTGCATCATGTTAGTTATAACAATTGCTAAAATTGCAAAAAATTTTCTTATTCTATTTTTCCAGTAAATATTTATTAATTATACTTTTTAATTAATTTTTATTGTATCTCTTTGACGGACCAGTAAAACATCGTCCAGATAAAATGTCAAAGAAAAAATATACATTGCATACTATAATTTCTTTTTTAGATTCGACAAATGAATAATTTTTTTTATCTCTCTACATTCGGTAAGTTATCTCCGTTGTTATATAATTCTGAACCATTTAGCTTAAGGTACTACACGGGTTCTTGTAAGAAAAGGTAAATATGTATTGAGAGTAATGTAACTGAAAGACAGTTTTATAATCTATCATGTACCGGAAATGGCAGTTCTCTTTTAAATCCGTATATAGTGACATATATAATTTAACACAGTAGAAATTTTGATAAAATAACAAAAAGAGAGGAAGTTTGAAGCCTTTTTTTTTTTTTTTTACAAACCAAACAGCGTTTAAAGTAGCATATCTATTAGTGCAATAAGAATCTTTGTTTCCTTGAAAAAAAGTGATACGACTGAAGAAAATAATAATATGCTGTCCGTTGCTGAAGCAAAATGAATGGAAATAGTGTTAAAATTAGGCTACTTTAATTTAGACTCAGAATAATTAAGAAACAAGATTTTTATATTGTGGACGTCGAATTTTAATGTAAAAGTATGGTAAGTAAATTATATACCAATATGATCATTTAATGTATAATTACATATAGTTGTAACAATATTAAATATTAATTAACATTTTATGGAAGCTCTTAAAAATTTGTACACAGAAAAAATAGGGCATATATTTTTGAAATAAAAAGGTTTTAAATAATGCATAAAAACGTATCAGTTATATTCTTTTATTTGTAACTAAAATAAGAAAAAACGAATACAAGCACTTTCTGTAAAAATAAAAAAATGAATGATCTTATAAAAAGTACGCAATCGGATGTCTAAGAAAAATACACAATTAAAATTGATACTTAAAATTTACGTGTCATCACTATTTTGAGAATAATACAAAATTGTGTTAAAATGATTTAAATGTAAAGCTCTTGTCATTGTCTTACACAAACTTTTTTCATAAGACATGTAAATTTTTAACAATATGTTTATAACATCACATTTCATTTAATGACTTAAAGGAAAACCACTTTTAGGATGTGGATTTTATATACCCCTTATTAGAAATATTGTATTTTTTATGGAAACGGGGCTTATATATCGTATTATTATTATTTTATATAAACAGTGTAATGTCATTACAACAATTATTCATGCAAAATGGAATAAAGGAGTAAGAAGAAAATAATATAAATAATTAAATGGTGGGGACATTGTAATTTGCTATTGTGTAGGTGATCTATAATATATACACTGTTTATGGAATCATGGGAAGAGAGAAAAATATCATATATCTTATCATGTAATGCTATATTTTTTTAAATTTGCCTTGAATTCTTATAAAATAATGATTATTATTTGATACACTTTTAAAAAATCGATATATTTTGAATCCAATGTTGTCATGCATTTTTTTTTTTTTTCATACATGTATCATTATAATTCGAATGTTTTAATAGTTTTTAAGCTAACTACGTACATTTTTTTTAATTCCCATATTATCATTGTTTGCTTTCTCTGAAGTGTGAATATATGACTTCTTCATCAACGTTGAATTTGTTTCATTTTAATATTTGTCTAGTATTAAGTCAATAAAATGTTTTAAACTTTTTTATGTTCTTTCTTTCTCTTTTTCTTTTCCTACTCTAACTAGGAAAATGAAAAAGTGACTTATTTAAACATTCATATATATATATATTTCTTACGTAATTTATTTTTCTTAATTAAATTAAAACTCTCATAAAGAACAATGTCAGATGTAAATTTAGAAAATTTGAAGTACGCAAATTCTTTTTAGAACAATTATTTACAGTGTGAGTTATTTATACATGCTGCATTTCACCATAAAGTAAATGTGTAGGTTTTAATACTCTATGGGGCAATTAATGTATATATAAAAAATAAACTCTTTATGGATAATTTTTAAAAATTTAAAAAAAATTTAAATTTCTATGTTAAAAATATAATGAATTGGAGAAGAAGAAAAATGCTTCTTAATTTGATAAATTTGGTGATAATAATGAGAAAAACAGCATAAAGAAACATAGTGTTTCACAATTTTGCAATGAAATTGCATTTAGTATGAAAAAAAAAAAAAAAAATAAAACTGTTACTTAACAATAATGAAAAAGGAACCTAATAGTCGTTGTGATTATTTTACTTATCGGTTATGGGATGAAATAAGAAAAAAATATATTCACAAGTTATTTCCCTTGTATTCATAACGGGTCTACTATTACCGAACATGATTATGCAGGAAATAAGGTTGATACTACAATTCCTGATAGCAAAAGTTAATATGCGTATGATAATGTTTTTTAACTCATATGAATTGAAAATGAGAAAATATTAAAATAAGCACTTTAAGCTTTATGATCATTGTAGAAGTAGTACCAGATCTCTTTATAAATGCAGGTGCAGAAAATGTGTTTCTCATTTTAATAATATGAAAATATAACATAAAAGGCAAAAAGAGGAATCTTGCGTGAATGCCTACTTTGATTTAGAATGTTATAACCACTTTATGTGAAAATAAATTAAACAACCTCAATGGATCTCTTTCCTTTATTAGAAGCATGGTGAAATTTAAGAGTTTAATGAATGTTCAGTTTAAGCGGTTAGGCAAATCATTAAATGAAGACATAAAAAAATTAGATTCACAATGTTTTAAATCCAAGTTATTCTGTATAATATAAACTCGAAGGAAATTAGGTTATATGCAAGTTTGGAATATACCATGAAATCCTATGACAGAATAGTACATTAACTTCAGTGTTTATTGTTCCTTATGGTATCAGAGGAACGACATTTTAATGTACTCAACTTAAATTATTTGCATTTTCGCACTTACTACAATAACAGGAACTATTTTTTTTTATGGACTTTTACTACGAATTTAAGACAAAAAATTTTTTATCATTTAAAAAAAATTTTACGTTCGTATTAATGCTTGTAAAATAAGTATATTTTGTGTATTCTGAAATTTTATAGGTGTATATATTGGTTGCTTCAACTTGGATCAATCTTAGACAAAACGGAAATGGAAGAATAACAAATTTACGTATTGACAGATTGAAAAAAACAAGGAAGAATTATCATCATCTGATTCAGAAGTCTATTTAATAGATCCATAGATAATGGAAATTTGTTTTATTTGTAACCCATCATGCTAAGCTTTTTAATAATTATGCACAGAAAATGTCAAAATATTTTTGTAAGCAACTTCTTTTAATAAAAAAAGAAAATGATAAAATGGAAAAACTACAAAAAAAAAGGACAATACATAACTCAATGGAAGTGTGAAATGTCTGAAGACGTGTAATGCTTTTCTGCTTTTAGCGACACATTGTTGTTAGCGAAATGAAGGTTATTTCACATCCGAGTGTTAATATAAAATGATATATAGGCATAAAATTATAAAAATATATTTAAAATTAAAAGATTACTTATACGAAGCATTAAGCAGACTTTAAATAAAGGAAAAAAACATAAATTCACAAATAACAATAGTGTTATAAAAAATTTGTTCTCAGAGAATGGTAATAAAATAAACTACTTAACCTTGGAAAATTAATGTGTTTTTGGAATGCATATTCTTTTTGCACATTTATGAATATCATTAGTTGACTTCAAATTAATTGTTTTATTTTTCCATAGTTCACACATGAAACGTGAAAAATAATAATTTATACTTTCTTTCTTTTTTTTTCCCTCACTATTTTTATTCCTTATTTAATCCATTTGAAATATTACATTTTATAGTAAAACATTTGTATAGCTTTTTTGGCACATTGCACCACAAGCGTAATTGGCTTCATTATTGTATTATTGTAATCAGCATTTGTAAAATTACAATATTTTTATTAACTTAATTATTATATTTTTTTATGAATATAGGGATATAACTTCTTATGTTTAACAAAGTTAAGAATAATTTTTTTGAGAACTTATAATGCACAAATTGGTGATTATTTAGTAATTTCTACAGAGAAACAGCCAATTGTAATTAATATAACAAGTGCATTAATTTATTCCTTATTGTCACATGGTATAAAAATAGGGAAGTTATATGTAGATAATCGTTTATACACGAATAAATAAAGATTTGTTAAATGTACATATAAAATAATTAGTTTACTAAATAAATGTGTGCTATAATTATCAATTTGTTCAGATATGAAGAAACATGACTTTATGGACAACTTTCCAGAAAAAAAAATATTAAATAAGGCTTTCCTTCATTTCAGTAATTTTATTATTTCAAAGGGGCTGTGAATACAATTTAATTAATATCAACATAGAAACACAATGTCCTTGAGAATATTACAGTGTGTATTCGTGAAAAGCTCCAATTTCTGAAAACAACATAAACGCGAATTAGTTTAACGATTTTACTTTATTTTTTTTTAAAAATAATTTTAAAAATAAAATTTTAGCATTTTCATGCATACCATATTACAAGTTAAAAAGAAGAGAAATTAAAGAAAATAAGTACATTTTGTCAATGGGTGTTGTTTATGATTTAACAATATATTTTAAAACTGTGTTTAAATAACAATTAAAAATGTATTTAAATACTGTTACATTTTGATGTTGTTGTACATATTGAAAGATAAGCACAATAAATTCATATATTATATATGAAATAACAAGTTTTCAGATGGTTCGAATTTTGTTTTTTTATAATGTTTATTTTTTTTGGTACAACAAATTTGCCATGTGTATTTTAAATGAAATGCCTTTTTTAAATATCTGAAATAAAAATAAATGTATTTAATGTGTAAAAAATTTTCGTGACTTTTTGCAAGCAACATTACCGTTTTCATGAATAATAAAGTATCTTTTAAATATATTCCTCGTTTAATTACAAGTGTTTTATATATGATACATGATTACATTTTTCCAAGAAAATGAACGAATCCATTTTTAATACATTATTTATATATATATTTCCATTATGAAATGTATAATTTTCGTATATTTTAGTTAAGACAAATAAATCATTGTATTCATTATTTTATATTATATTTGTGTGCTCAATAAAGAGCATTTTGAATATCATATGTCGCATAGGATATTTGAAAGACGAAATTAAATAAGATGTCTATATGAATTTAAAGAAATGAGTAGTAAACATTTTTCCCTTTTTTAAGGTTTACAGGATTGGGAAAATGTTATAGTTAAAATAAAAATTTCATATAGTATATACATTTTATATAATAAAAAATATATCAAGAATTACGTATAGGTCGTTTTTTTTTTTTTGATATTTCTTTATCATTTTTCTTTCTCTAACTTTTGTTTTTTTTAATTATTCATTCAATATTTTTAGTGCATATATGTGTTATTTTTTGTGATATCGTGGAAAAATTAGTATGTCTGTTTAATACAGCCCTTTTAATATCAATTAGGATAATTATTAATAATGAGATAATTTTCTTAACGCTTGTAGTACGAACATATTTAAGAAAATAATCCTTTCTATAATTAGGAAAATGATTGTATGTGTCCATGTTTTAAGAAAAAATAACCATTGAACAAGCGTTTTTTTATTATTATAAATTATTTTTTCCCTGTTGTAAATTTAATAGAATTGTACAATTAATATAATATATACACATGAAGACTTTAAATAATCATATTTTTCAACATAATGTTATATTGTTTTATATTATAAATTTAGTTTTACGACTTTAATATACATTTATTTTATTTAATTAAGAATATACGTTTTAGGTTACATTATATTGCTTGAATAACAATGGGAATAATATTAAAACAAGTAGCAAAGCAATAAGTTTTAATGCTAAATGTGTTTATTGAAGCTTTAAAATTGGCCAAAAGATATAGTGCATAATATATCTATACATTGTTGTTGTCTTTTTTACTATATTATTATTTATATGCTAATCATTTTTATGTTTTAATTTTTTAACATATATACATATAGACGTACCCATATTCCAATTGAATGCAACGTTTTAAACATGGCAGATGACTACGACGTACAGTTTTATTTTTAATTATACCCATTAGACATTTTGACTTTTATTTATTAGGCCTGTTATTTATGAAATAAATCATTTATTTGGAAAATAATATTTTATATATTTATTTATATTTTATTTTCCCGTTTCTTTTTAGTATGAGCACGTGAAAACTTTTCCTACCTATGCAAGCAAATTAAATGATGTTGATCATTTTTCAGGCATACAATTTCGAACAAATGATCCTATTGTTAATAGGTGTAAGGAAAAAGCTAAAAGTAATGAAAATTTTTATTATATTATGTTATGTGCAACCCTTAATAAATATTTTAAGTATTATAGCCATCTGAATCCGGTCGATAGTAAACACTGTGAATATATTAATTTCTGGTTAAATAAGAAATCACAATATGACAATTCATTTAATATTTATAAAAGGATAATAAACCATGACAAATCATTAGATATATTTGACCCTAGTATTAAGGATATACAAGAATACGAGTCTAAACTAGGAGTTCTTTCAAATGAAGTAGTTAGAAAAATAAATACAATATATAAGTTGAATGAACAATATCTCTTTTTCTTAACGAAGAAGGAAATTGGTCAAACCGCTAAGGTCATATTATGCGATCATGCTAAAAAATTTGCTGAAATATATAATGAAGCAATTGGTGAATGTTCTAATTATAATAATAAATACTGCAAGGCGTTGATAGAATTTAAAGTTAAATATGATAAACATAAAGAATTTACAAAAACATGTCAAGAAGTAAAGGATGTAAAAATAATACCTGGAACAGAAAGTTATGAATTAGAAATACTGAGGAGGTATGGGCTATTTAGTAGATATGGGTTTAATTCTGTAACGGATGTTTTAAAAACAGCTGGTAAGGTATTAGGAGGTGTTTTTGTGTTATTTCTTATAATAAAGGTAAATAAAAATATTTTTCTAGTATATAAAAATTTTTAGATAGTGCTATTATGACACCTTTTGGTAAACAAAATTGATATTAAAAAATAACTGCCTTTTTAGGTGAAAAGAGTGTATATATGCACAGACATTTATATATATATATATATATATATATATATATTTTCTTTTAATATCAGTTTGTCCCATTTCAAGCATTAGAACGTAATAAAAAGAGAAATAAAAAACAAAATAAAAAAAAATCTCGTGCTAGTAGTAAGCATCAAAAACGTGATAGTCGTCAAGATTACCCTAAGCATGAAGATCATGATAATTATGCTAGTCATGGTAGTTATAATAATTATGAAGACCATGATAATTATACTAGTCATGGTAGTTATAATAATTATGAAGACCATGATAATTATACTAGTCATGGTAGTTATAATAATTATGAAGACCATGATAATTATCCTAGTCATGGTAGATATACAAATTATGAAGACCATGGTAATTATCCTAGTCATGGTAGTTATAATAATTATGAAAACCATGGTAATTATGCTAATTATGGTAATTACCATGATTATTCTAATTATCATGATTATAACTATTATAATGAAGATCAAAGGAATCAGGTTTACAATTATTCTCCATATTACAATGATAACGATAAATCAGTGTCGCATAATGGACAATATAACATTCAATATTATTCTGCACGTGATGATGAATATATGTACTACAGAGATTAAACAGTATTCCGAATTAGTAAATAATGTTATAAAATCAAATGACAATTATATTAAGGCACAAAAAAAAAAAAAAAAAAAATAATAAATTTTCAGAAAAAATGCAAAATATAATAAACCCACCAACACATTCTTGAGTTATATACCTAAAATAATTTACCTGGTAGTCAAATTGAATCCAACATTTAAGTATATAATTTGTTAAGAGAATTTTATTTTGTTACATGAAGAGGCAAGAATATTTTGGAAAGTGTTAATAAATTAATCTACATGGTAATTTATATCGACTTCACAGAAACCTAGTGCAATAGAATAATATATTCAGTGAGTACGTAATATAAAACAGATAATGAAGTGTGACTTAAATTTTGTGTTGAAATAACGGTACACATAATATGAATTGAGTAAAGAAAAGTTTTATACATATTAAGAAGTGCTTAGTGTTTAATTCAGATTTTGACACTAGAAAGAAGAAATTTAAATTCAAGACATAAAAGCTGATTAATAATATTTATATACTTTAAACTTTTAATAGATTTATAAGTAATGTTGGTTTTAGAAGAACTAATAGAAAATAGCTTCGAAGTAATTATTTAATGAATGAGAGTAAGAAGACATTGGAATGTTGTGTTTATGATATGATAAATATTAGACGTTTTACGTAATAAAAGAAACTCTTAAATGAAAATCTGATTATGAATTGTTATATAATACACTACTTTGTATTAATTATATCGCTACTTTTTGTAGTACTAAGATGTAGAGAATTTTGTTTTACTCAGTGGTTTAGAAAAAAAATAAGAATCACATATTAATTAATTTAGTATATGCGAACATGTTATATTCTTTTTAATTATGCATTTATTATTTAATATTATGAAATTATTTTACCTAAATGAAAATGTTTTCTTGTACGTTATTATCATTATATTTTTTGCGGGAGGTGAAATTGCATTTTATTTTTCAGTTTTGAGTTTTTTATTTTATATTCGGATAGTAATATTGAGGAAGTTGCCTTTAAATGGTATATATGATGAGCTTAACAAGGATGAATTTTAAGGCTTTATTATTTTTATTGCAATGGTTGAGAAACATTAATAGACACAACTCAAAACTGTTTTAGAAAACTTGCAAACAATTTGGAAAATAGATAAAATAATAAAAAAATAGGAGAAGTTTTGAGAATCGTTGTTCTACACATTATTTTCTGGGTATATCAAGAAATAAGTAATATATTTAAATGCTAATGAATAATTATTTGTAGTATAACGAGAAGCTCAATAACTTCTTGAAGAATGCAGTAAAATTATTCTGGAAGCAATGCAAAAAAGGAGTTAATGAAAGAGAAAATTTAACAAGAATACATAAAATTCAAAACACTTACACAAGGTGAAATACTGAAGATTGATACATAAGACATAGATGTATAAAACAGTTAGAGGATAATTACATGCTTAATTACTACAAATCATTTTTATTTTAGCACGATTGTACATATAATGAATGCAAGGAAATGAAAGATTTGTATGAATTCTTTAAAAATTTTAAAACTATCAAAGAAAAAGTTATTTCTTATATTAGTTGTTCAAAATAAAACTACTTTTTCTGATTATATTATTAATCTCTTTGAAAAGAATAGATGTTGCGACGGTGGTAGTTGTCGCAAATGGAATGTTTATGGTTATTATTTTAAGTGTACTAATGATGTAAATTCTAAGAATCCTAAAGAATATTGGATATGTGGTGCCAAAAGGTACACTATATACATAGATAATCTAAATATGATGATGAGAGAATTCTTATATCATGAACTTCCAGTGGAAGACAACAGAAAATTATATTATAGTTTAACCTTTGATAGAGAAACTTATCAGTGAGGGAGTACATTACCAGAATTATAGTATGTGAATGATAATATGCATAGTGAATTATAAAATGTAATTAAACTTCGAATGATAAATGAACAAGGGAGATTGTTAAATTTTTCACTTTATAAGAATAAGATGAACTATATTTACCTGATTGCAGGATTTCCCCATTTGGGATTCGCATTGTTTAGGGTGAATATAAATTGTAGTTTTCATATGAATACCTAATGTTACGATGTCTATATTAAACAATTCTCAATATGTTATAACTATATTATGTATTTTTTTTTTTTATTATTTTCATTCACGCGTTAGTATACACTCCCTGGATTGTGAATGATTATTAATAATTTAAAGAAAAAACAAACGAATGATATTCATATTTATGCAGTTATAGAGGATTCATTAATGTATGATTTATGGTGTGATAATAAAAATAGGTTATTACTCATCAGAAGAATATATGTTTTATTGATATATAGTGGGAATATTTTCTTATTTTATATAAACCATTGTGTGAAGTATACAAAAAATATCTAATATGCTTTTGTGTAAAAATAAGAATAATTAAAGAACAAAAAGGTATATAAAAAATGTTTATTTTATCTGATTTAATGTAATTGCATGATTTTGAATTTTACGTTTAATTTGTAATTTTATAGTAACAATTTTACTGTCATGTAATTATGTTTAGCACTTGTTTAATTGATTTTTTTCTTTTTCTTTTTATTTTAGTATAGTATTTATCTTAAAAACATATTATTTTGCGTAATAATTAATACATGTAATAATATATATTGTGATGTTATTTTTAATAATTTTTGTTGTTTCATATTACAGATTATAGTAATCATATTAAACATAAATTTATGTTATTGTTAGAATGTTGAATCAAAAAATAAAAAGGTTAATTAAAAAATAAGCGAGATGCTTATTTATAAATATGGATTGAATTTCTAAATTTGTGAAGAAAATATTTTACAACTTCTGAATTTATGGATTTTACTATTATAAGTGTTAATATATTTTTATTCTTATTTAGTTTTGAAAGCAATATATGCAGATGTCGCTTTAACTATATTAAGATTAATAGAGAGGCACTCATGACGATTAATTTGAAGTTCTCTTAGATGTTCTTATGATAGTCTTATCTTTCAGATAAAAGTATAAAATTCTTTTAAATGGTGAATAAAGAAAATAATTTTTTAACAATTTCTTCCATGTATTTTATAATTGTTATGTGTACTAAGTCATATTATTTGTTTATATATGGTAAGTATTATATTTCTTAAAAAAGTCAGATTTTAGATGGATTAAAAAAAAAGTTTGTAGTCTTAATTAACACAAATTAACACATAAGAACTAAAAAACATATTATTTATATAAAGATGTCAATATAATTAAGATGAATTACTTTTAATAACCTATATTGCATAATAATTAGGATAAATATATATTTTCTATTATATTTATTAGTTTAACGCTTTGGGGTCATGAAAAAAAAATAAATATTTTATAAAAAAAATAATTATTTAAAAAATTCTGTAATACATTACATAGAAATATATTTATAAAATCACATAACCGAATTATGTAAGATTTAAATGCTAGATATTGATTTTATCATATAATATGTTGCAGAGATCATGAGATTGCTAAGGAACTTTCTAACAGTATGTTGAACACTTACATATTTTCCAAAATAATATATATTTGTATTCGGAATGATTTTAGAATGGTAATATGCAACTTAACGTAAAATATATTTATATGAACAGTTTTAGTAATAATAAAATAACTACATAAAAAAACAGCATTCTATTGCAAAAATTATAAAAATATCAGTTTGACCCTTTTATATAATTCATTTTCATACACAGTGAAATAAGGAGCTCATTATATACATTTTTTTGAAAACAGAATTCTGTTCTGAAAAAAGGGTAAAACTTTTTGATGTACAACGTTTCGTATAAGATACAATTATATTATAATTATATTATTTATACATCGTTAATCGTAAACCCATTTGATAAGTAGCATAGAGCTTGGGAGAATTATTTTCTTAATTACAGAGAAATGTAAGAAGGCATCGTTAATATAAAATAGTAATAGGTCATATAATGTGTGCGTAATGTTGAATTATATTTTTATTTAGAATATTCAGAATATTCAATAAATTTGTATATTTTTTTAATAGTAAAATTTACAATTATGTAATAAACTAATTATTATATGTATTTTTACTTAGTTTTATTTGTCTTATTTTCGAAATTTTTACTTTTATTATTTTTACAGTTTCGTTTGACTTTTTTTTTTTGCATATGTATATTCAGAAAAGCATGGTATTTTATGAAGTTATACTTTTTATTATTGATTTATTTACATGGTGTCGTATATATTCCTTATATATAATTTATTTATATGAGGAAAAAAAAAAAAAAAAAAAATTAATACAGATCTTTATTATAAGAGTGATCAATTTATTCTCATCATTTTAATTAATGATAGGATATTTTTCCTTAAACAAGTAATCTATATTGATTCTATGGTATATTTAAATAAGTTTACACATATTAAAATATATATAATTGATCAGTTTTTATATAACGAACAGTATAATTCTAATACAGTGTAGACGCTTGTTTATTACTATGTTTTTTTCTTAACTACATTCTTATTTAATTTTTAATCAAATAACCGAAAATGTTTCACTCATAGGAAACGGTAACTTGTCACATCATACATATTACGGAGGCGGTAGGAGATATTAACTAAAAGAAATTATAAAAATGTTAGTATAAATATGAATAATATTTGAGCATTCATATATACTATGCAAGTTGTGCATATATATTAAACATTGTTATATATTGCAGTATCATAAAAATGTATAAATTATGCTCAATTTGATGTGCTTTTATTAGTTTTCTACTACTGTTTATCAAAAATTTTGATAATAATTATTTGAAAATATGTGAATGTAATATTGCAGTGTAAGCAGATATTATCGTTGTTTATAAACTAATTTTTTTTTTTATAACACTTCGAATTACAGTGAAGTGTTATATTTTTATGCCATAATATATGAAAAATACAAAATTTTTGGTAACATGGTAATTTATGTTATTATGTAAAATGCAATCATATAGATAGTTCCATAAAAACATATATAAATATTACAAAAATGAAACATAAGCTTATAAACATCAAGTTTTTTATAAAGCTTATATAAATACAAAAGAAAAAAATTAAATAGTATGATGTATTTTATTTATTAATTAATGAAAACTATTTACTGGAGTAGGAATGCTATTATTGAAAAAATGAGTTAAACTGTATTTTAAAAATGTCTTTTTAAGAATGATTCTATTATATTATCTAAAAAAATTATGAATTAAAGTTAAGATAATATTTGAAATCAATAATATTACAACAATTGTAATATGATAATAAATTTTTAATATAAAATATAATGAGTATAACAATTTGATTTCACATTTAAACAATCTCTATATAGTGGGAATTATTCGTTAAAATGCTGTTGTTCTATTTATGTGTAATTATTATAGTGTTGCAAATAATAATATAATATATATGGAAATTTATAATTATAAAAATAATGGAATGTAATTATAATAATTGTTATTATATATATATATATATATATATAATGTAGATATTATAAATATTTTTGATTTTATTGATATAACATCCCATTTATTTAGAGAATATGTTTATATAATATTTACGCGAATAATTTTTGTCATATTGAACTATATAATGAAATGTTTAATTATTTCTATTTTCTTTTATTAATAATGTACTTTTCAGTTTTAAAAATATTCTAAGAATAAAATAAATTAATTAATAATTTATTACAAAAGATGATATATAATAATACCATTATACATATTTTACGCTTCACATTATTGTGATTTTTATTTTGTAAGATAAATGACATTTTAACCATCCATAAAACATCGTTGTTGTTACTGTAAGAATTAGAACATTGTTCTATGCCAAAAGTGGGAACAATTCAAACATTAAGAAAAAAAAAAAAAAAAATAGTAAAGGTTCTTTAATTAATGAAAAAGTATATATCATGTTATATATTGCTTTTTGTGTGATAGATTATATTTTTGATTTTTTATTTTCTGTATTTTTAAATCACATCGTTATCACACAGCTTTTAAGTAAAATAAGTTTTACTTTAAATCCTTAATAAAAAGTGTTAAGTTTAAGTGCTGACATTTTAATAATTTCATAAGAAAAGTATTATAATTAAAATATTACATTTATTTTTTCTTTAAAAAATATATTTATATTTTTGGAATGCTGCAATATGTCGAATTTTTTATAGATTAAATATATGGAAAAAATATATGTAAGTAAATGCATATTTAAAATAGTATAGTCTATATTATATAATAAATTAAATTAAGAATATATTTATAAAATTATTATATAGAATGTAACCGTTTTTCATATTATATTAATTTTTATTATAATTTTCCAATTTTTTACTTAATTTTTTCGTTATTTGATATAATATTAGTGCTTTTCCATGTTGGTTTGACAAATAACATCAATTATAGCTAATTTTTACGTACTAAAATAAGTAACATAGGAAAACTGAAAACATTAATAGTTTATAAATTATTTGTTTCATACAAATATGTGTATATTTTTTTAAGAAAAATATCAATATTTATTTAATTTAACATGCGCCTATGTAAATGGATTCTGCTAATAGTGAAGAATGGGTATATTTAATTTTTTTTTTGTGAAAAATGTTCTAATTTATTTGTTGAATTGGGTGTTATAAATAAAGAAAATAAATCCAATATCAGATTAATAATGACAAAATTAATATATATTTTTTGTGTGTCTACAGGAGGATATATTAAAAGAGCTACCTTCATATAAATTATATGAAGATTTTAACAAAGATATTGAGCCTAAGGAAAAAAGTGAATATGAAAAATATTGCAACAAAATAAGTGATTATAATGTTGATTTCCCATGGCTCTCTGATTTTTGCGTCAAATTTGCAAAAAATTTAACTAATGTTGATATCACTAAAGGCGCAAACTCAAAACATCGTTGTTTACAATTGAATTATTGGATATATGAAGAAATATTGAAAAATCACAAAAATAAAAGGGATAACGTTTACGACATGAAATTTTTTCGTAAAATCTATGAAATAGGAAAAGAAATTAATAATAAAAAAAGAGATAATTATTATTGTTGTTCCTATTTTTATGGTGTTTTGGATGAGTGGAAAAAAGAAAAATATTTACATGATTATTTTATAAATTACGAGGAGATTAATAAGAAAATAAGTTCTTCTAATTATAAATGTAACGAATATTATAACTATCTTATTTATATAAATAAAATATATAAAGAGCATAAAGATAACTGCTGCACTTTTGGTGATATATATTGCCATGGATATTTTGATTGTGATAATAATAAGAATCCAAGCAACCTGATATCTAAATTAAAATTCCATAATCAGGAAATACAGGAAGATGGATTAGATTCTAAGAATAAAGAGGAGTATGAGAATCCAACATTAGAAAATCACATGATAGATAATTATGGGAAATGTATTGAAACTTATGATGTCAAAGCTAAAAAATTAGGATATAAATGTGTATTTCCAGAGGATCAGAAATTAGAACAAGAAGGAGCAAAAGTTGATAATAATAATGGAACTGTAAATTTAGGATATCACATATCAGCAGTTGACCTATCGACGTACAAAAAATTGTTACAAACAAAATTTAATTCTGATAAGAATGAAGGTAATAATGTTTTTCACAAAATTTTACCAAAAAACTTATTAACGATATTTGTTGATATTAGAACTAAAGTACAAAACTTCTATTTTCACATAAAAGCATTACCTTGTTTATATGAGAAATCGAAAGAATCAGAAATATGCAAAAAATTAGAGGAGAAACGTGAGCATGAATTCCTTGAAGAAATAATAAAATCTAATGGATTATCGTCCAACGTAATCACAGCATCTCTTAAAATGAGAGAATTACCAGGTGTAAAATGTGAAACATCTGTTGGGTATAACGATCAATTAAATTGTGTAGAATCAGGGAATGATGTAATGAAAAGCACTTTATTGCGTGTTCGTGGCGTAACTGTATTAATCCTAGGGGCGACTGTTCTACTTTTTTTATATTACAAAGTATATTTAAATTTGATGATAATAAATACATATTTAATGTTACTGTATGTACTTATATTTGTAAAATTAATGTATTCATAAATTATTCATATTATACATTTACAATATTTTTAATTTTTATTCTAGTTTACACCATTTGGCTCATGGTTAAATAGAAAAGTATTAAAGAAGAAAAATCAAAATTATAAATTTCAGGAAGGGTTTGAGTGTGAATTAATAAAAAATTCATCACAAGGCGATCGTATGTATTCAAATAAAAAAAGAATTCCTATAGCTTACCATCAATTGCATAATATGTAATGATAATATTACAATGAGTTTCATTAGTATAAGACTATAATAAGGAATTTACTAAATTTTTTCTTTAGTTGCATTTAACGACATTATAAAAGTAAAATTAACTACTTGAAAAATATATTTAACAAATTTAAATGATAAAATTTTAGATGAAGAGTTTTTTATTTGCTATTTTAGAAATATTATTCTCATTGCTTTATTTATGGTAATAATATAATATAGTTTTCATTTAGTAAAATGCATGTAATTTGATTTTTTCATTTAACGTCAAAAAAAAAAAAAAAAATAATAATAATAATGATATTTGTTTTTTTGCTATAGTGCTTATTTGCAAAAAGGTCAGGTTGTAAAACTATTTCTATTGTTGCTCCAGTGCTTTATATAATATATAAAGCTCATTATAATTTGATTTGATATATAATTTTTATAATTTATAAAAAAGAGGTATTCTCATAATTTACTTGTTATAATAATGAATAAAAGAATATACAACATGAATTATTATATTTATTATGAAAAATGTTCTAAATACAATATGATATCTTTGTGATAAAAATTCATTATAAATCATATAATATTTTTTAAATATAAAATAAAATTTTATGAGAAGTTAATTTTTATTGATTTAATGGTTTTATTATTTTTTTTATTTATTGAACAAGAGTAAAAAAGATAAACTATTAGGAAAAAAGCTACATTTATTTTTTAATAGAAACAAATAATGTGTATATAATGATAATACCAACAAGAATTCTATATACTATAAATATAATTAGGTATATATATATATGCATTTATTAAATATTCCTAGTCGTGCGAATGATGTTAGGTTAAAATGTTCTACCTTTTTATACAAAGTTTTATAGTATAAAATTGTTACATAAACAATACAAATTATTATACAGTTATTTAGATAATATTATTTGTATTAATTGGTAAAATAAAATATTTTGAATAAAAATATAATGTTTTTCAAAATTCTTAATACAAATATATAGGACTCCGAATTAATTCAAATGTAAGTGTCTCAAATCAACTTTATAAAAAGTATCAAAATTATAATTCCCTTGTCTGAAATATCATTAATTTTTGTGGGGTATAGTATCAAATTATGTTATGTAATTAAATTAATTAGTAAATGTTATCACTGTTTTTTGTAATTAATACATAATCATTGAATAATGTAATTCAGAATATTGGATGTAATAAGGAAAGCATTGATAAATATAGTAGTTTTTACAAGTACATAAAATACGTTTTTGCATGAATAATCAGTATATTTGAGATAATAATTATTTAATTTTTTTGGTTTATTTCCACCATATTTAAGTTTAATTAGTATAAATGTTTTTTAATGATTAGTGTAAACATTTTTGAAATACCATGGATAGACTTTTTATTTGTTTTACTTATTATATTTTATTAATTAATATGTTTATTTGTGTTTCAATATATTTTTTTTGTATTGATACCCCTTATCACACTTCTTCTTTTAGAGTATATTTCCAATAATAATATTACACATGTTGACATCCTATATTAAGTCTCTTCCCACCCCACAATATGAATAACATGGTTCATTTAAGTAATCAAATAATCTACATTCCCCTTCATTTGTACCAATGATATTTTTTTTTTTTTCAAAATCCATTGCTGAAAAATCTTCGTATATTTGTAAAATTGTTCTAAAAATATAATATAAAAAACATATAATATATTTATTTATAAGTTATGTCTATGCAATATAGGTTATTAAAATGAGTATTTTATTGGTATGTATAAATGAAATTCATATTTACTATATACAAAGTGAAAAAAGTGACAGAAATTAGAACTCCTCCTAGAATTACGGTTCCTGCTTTGGCAGGAAGATGAGAACTGCATCACACTTACTATAAATCCTAAAATTGATTGATTCAAAATATTTATGACATACAATTTGAAATATGACAAATTGAGCAATCCATCTCTCTATGAGACATAGTTTAAGATAACAAAATTGTGGATCATGTATTAAGGAGTTACTATAATAATGTGGGTAGTGACATCATCTATCATAAAACAAAGTTTAATGATGTAGTAAATTAAAGGATTATGTCTATTAATATTTGTGTAAATTTCTTTGAATTTTTATTTTATAAGTATTATAAATTTTACTGTGTATAATAATCAAAACAATAAAGATATAAATCCTTAATTCTTTACATTTCATGCTTAATAGAGATATTAAAAAATCTGGATTAATTTTGTTGCAATAATATTTTTTTAATGAATTTTTAATATGTCTGTACCACATAATTTGGTATTCACCAAGTCCAAGAACAGAATTAGAAATAGCATTATATTTAATTCTTCAGCGTTGTTTATAACGTAACTAATAATTAATAAGCATGAGCTAATTTTATACCGGATTGTTTGTATTTAATGTTGTACCTGCATTTACTCTATTCCTTATAAGTATAGAAAAAATACTTTCATTCTCAAAAAGGTTGTTTTTTATACCAATGAACCATATTTACCACAATATCCCTTTTAATCTCTATAGTTATATTTTGAGTTCTTATAAAAATTATATGGTTGTAATCCTAGTGTCTTTAAATCAATATATTAGTTAATAAATAGTAACAAATAAATTTTGAAAATTATATTGAAGAAGACAAAATTTATAAATATAACCTCACGAAAACAAATGAGCATATTTAGCATAGAGATAAGTTAATCTGTTATTTTAATACATAAAACGTGTTTTTTACATATTACTTTTACGAAGGGAATAATGTGTATTACATAAAAAAAAAATTATTATTAAAATTAATTTAAAACTGTAAAATAAAATTTATTTATATATAAGTGTATAATACGATTTAATTATTAAAACCTACATCACAATATATATGTAACATGCAGATTAATTATAGGATGATATTTGTTTTATATAATCGAGAAAAAGAATTAGAATACATGTATATACTATAGAAGCTAGTATTACATGTCATATATTAAATTTTTTTTAATTATTATATACATAATAAATTTTCTTTTATCCTTTTGCATAACAAATTAGTAATTGTTCATTGTATAAGACACAAATCTTAGAATACGCTAATTTTATATATTTTTTTCCTTAAATATCATTTAAATAAAAATTATTTGTTAACTTCCTATAATCATTTTTTTTAGCATTTATCAATTAGCATTACATTTACTCAATATTCCAAAAGAACAAATCGCGAATGTGAAGGAAAATAACACATATTCTACGTATCGTATTGCATAAATAATGAGCAAAAATTGTAGACTCTATATTATTGGTATTTATAAATGAGTCATAATACACATTATTATAACGACGTTCATTTTATATGTGAATTAAACTTTGAATTTAAAAATGAACTTATATTATACAAGTACCTATAAGACAAATATAGTAAAACAAATTTTAGGTGTTAAAGAAAAATTAGTTTCACTCATTATTATATTTTTTAAAACATAAGTTTTTTTACCTGTGAATTAATGATTAATGAATCTTATTTTATATAATTAATCATTTTAACTTTTATAATTTATAAGACATATATAAATTCTCAACTCTCTATTAGTATAATTATTGAGAATTTATCACATATGTGCCTTAATTACAAAAAAATTACATTTTGATTTTCTGATACATACTATAATTTTTGTGTATTTTATTGTATGATTGCAAAAATAGTATATTATGTTTTAATTTAATTTTATCATTATAGAAAATATTACTATTTCAAATTCGACAATGTATTGTTTGTATAATGAACTAAGATAATTTGTTAGGATATAACATAAATATATTATGTGTATATCTATAGAATTGTTATTCACTAAGATTAGTGATTTAGGAAAATTAATTAAATTATTATATATTAATTCTTTAGACAAATGATATGCATTTCTTTTTTTCTGAAACTTGTATTAAAAGAAAACCTAATAAATTAAAATTACATCATATAATGATTGTAGTAATTGTATATACTATGTTTTTATTAATTTGGTAAAAAGAAAATTTTATAGTTTCCTTATTGCTCCATATATCCTTTAAATAAATTATACATATAGTAAGTTATTTTTGATTATAAGCATATTCGTTTTAAGTGTGTTAAAATTATATGTTAACTTGTTTAGTTTAGCATTATATAGGATAGTAACATTAATGCATACCGATATTGTGTGGAAAATAATTTAAAATGTATAAAATGTTATTTATTATATCTACAATATTGTTTTCCTGAACTTTGTAAAATAACAGAAATTATTCTTTTTTTTCTGGGTTAGGGTTTAGGGAGTAAACTAAAAAATATAAAAAAACAATTAGACAATTAAAATTGTAATAATTTTATTTAATTATATTAATATGGGATAGAAAAGAATTAAAATAAAATTTCATCTAATTAATTAAAATTAAATTCTGTTAAATCTACTAAAACTAAGCCAAAAATTCCATGATGATTGTACTTATATATGTTGCTATACTTTAAAGTATACGAGCATTGTTTTATGTATTGTATAGTATATATTTAATAAGTGAGTGATGTGTAATTTATTTTTGAATTTACCTAAAAATTTTTTTTCAGCTGAGTATATAAAATTATTTTTTTCTGATTAATTAGAACCCTTACTAATTTTTGTATTTCTCATCATATATACATTATTAATGTAAATATTTATCAGTTTTAGTATATTTAGAATAAATGTTATTATATGGAATTATTTTTTTATTAGTGTAATTACAAAATTGTTTCTCCTTAATATGTTATCTATTACTGTAAGCTTTATTTTTATTAGTATATTTTCTAACATAATAGTATAATTAACATGAATTTAAATGGTTTATAGAGGGGTAATTTATATATTTATTATATTGAATATATTTCATAAAAAAGAATGGTAGACTAATCTATGTTTAAATTTAAAGATATTAAATATTTTCATTTTGTTACATTTATAGACAATAATTTTAAACTTAAATACATGAAATTGATCACTGTTTATTAATATATTTATAAAGAAGAAAAAACATTTTCAATAAAATGTACTTAATTTTTAGATCATATTATCGTAACTCTAAAATATAAAATAATTCGTGACCAGTTTTGTATAATTAAAAATATATTTATATGAAGCACATTAGATTCATAATTACTTGCACATATATACTTATAGTAACATAATTATTTTAATAAAACACAATCCCCACATAAAAAATGCATTTAAAAAATTACATCGATAGGACGATAATTCACAAAAATGAAAAAGATATTTTATGTAATTCTTTTCAATTACATATATATATTTATTTGTGTTTGTCTTTCTAAACATTCAGAAATATACTGATATGCAGACATTGAATTTGAATCAAAATGTTTTTAAATATGTGATATCACACATTTAATTACAAAAGAACAAATATATTAAAATAACTTTTTGAAAGCTGATAAATAATCACTTAAACTATGTCCATCCTTTTTTTCTTGTATAATAAGAAATTTTAAGGTTTTTATAAGAACATAAATAAGGATGAACAGAGAAATTACAACGGGGACTACTGCGCCATATTCAATTCCTGATACTAATTTATCTTTTTGTGTAGAAATAGCAACACAGGACACATTTATAATAATAGGTAAAGCCAACAAAACAAAGATATCTCTGCATACTGATGTTTTTTTTGCTTTGTGTTTAATACTTATGTTGTCTTCAGTATTATATATAGCATTAAGTCTATCGAATATTTTATTTTCACAGTAGGAATCGAAGCGTTTAAGAATACCAAGTTTATTTTGTTTGTTTTTTTTATAAAAATTTTTGGTTTTAACATCTGGTATCTCACCATTTGATTCACTGTCTGGATTACACGTAGATAATAATCTACTTGTTCTTAAATATAATGACTGGTCTAATTTTTGTGTACGATCAAATGAACTATTAGGAGTTCCCTAAACGGTGAAAATAAAAAAAAACAAATTTTAAATATATATATATATATGTTTTTATGCACTAATGCATATGTTACAAAAAAGTAAAACCATTAGACAAAAGAAGACATTTTAAATTTTGTAATTTTACATCATAATTGTGATGATATATCCAAACAAAAAATGAGATCGCAAAAATTTTAGTAAATTGGAGTAATTTAAAGCTTCCTGCCATGATGTTCTTTACGTTTGTTATGCATAGAATAATATATAAGTATATTTATAATATAACAAGGCAATGAGTTTGTTATTGTTATAATAATGTAATTAATTATTTTTATATATTTTAATTAATTATAATTAAAATATGTGAATTTTTTCCTAAATATATATGCGTAGAAGTGTAAAATTAAAAATAATTTAGTAAATTTGTATTAGGAAACTATATTTACATGTGGTAAAATTTCAATAAAATTTAGTTAAATTCATTTGTATATGTTTTAAATAAATAAAATCACCATTAAACGGAGTAAGAATTAATAATTATTATGTTAGATTATTTTAAATTATATAAAGGAATAAGGGGATATATTAATAATACAAAACATCTTTTTATATAAACAGCGAAGATGAAATATAGGTAGAAACAAATAACATTGATAGTTTTAAAATAATAATTATGAAGTAATATAATTTTCTCTGTTAATGAATTCATATTGATTACATTTTGTATCCTTAAAAAAGTGATAATATATATCAAAAATACTTGTTGCATGAATAAAATAAAATATTTTTACGTTATTCAATATTTTATGTGTATAATTAGAATTAATAGAGAAAAAAAAGAATACAAACATTTGTTTATAAATAATTAATTGTTAAAAATTCAATATTTTTAATTTTATGCTTGATAACATGATTATTATTTTAATACATTAAAGTCTACAAATAATTTAATAATTATATTATAAAAATAATTTAAAATGTTAAAAATGTTGTACTAAAGAGTAAATTAATTTTTATTCTTTTTTTATTTTACATAAAATTGGTACATTTTACGGAATGCAGTTAATAATAAATAGAGAAGTGTTAGAAAAAATTTGGTAATAAAAAGTTATCATTTGTACACCTCGAATTTGGAAAATATTTTCAAATAATTATAATATATAAAACAAGAAGTTAATATATAAAACATAAAAATAAGGAATTTTGTGAAAACAATTTATTACATATAATTTGTCCCCATTATTTAAAAAAAAACATAAACATAAAGTTATTTATTAAAATTATATTTTTTATTTTTAATATACATAATTAAAGCAGATTTATTTGAAAACTTTTTAGAATTAAGAGAATGTTCTGAAAAACATTTATAATGGATGTCAACATTAAAATAATTCACAGAAATAACAACGCATGTTAGAAAATTTTTCCTTTGATTTAAATATTTCATTGTAGTACATTCTTCAGTGTGAAAAGATAATCCAATGAAAAAATTATTTATTTAAAATCAAAATAAAAATTATATACTATTGATTTTTACAACATTATATTTAACATTCATAAGTTATTGTAAAAAATATTATATAATTATATTTTCCTATATCTAAATATATTGTTCTACAAGGGTTTTAAGGTGGGTTAGATATCATATTTATGTAGTTTTACCTGAAACAATTTTATATATTTTAATATAAATATAGATATTGAATATTTATTAACTCGTTTTTATTATAAATGTTTAGATATTGCCATTTGGATTATAACATAAATTATAAAAGTACACAGTTTAGATTAAGCAAAAAATTTAATAAGACATTGTGAATAAACTACCACACCATTAGGCGTATACTTTTATACAACTATTTCATTTGTATATTCATTGTCCTTTATATACTTATTCTTTTGTTTAATTTAAGCATATTTTACATCACATTAGGCAAAATTGTGTTTATAAACATATAAATGCATTCCTATATACAGTGTAATTATAAAATTTATACATAAATGCAGTAGTAAAATAACACATTTTCACTATTACAAATTATTTTTTTGAGTAGTAATTTAAAATATTTATTGTGTTTGTTTATTTATTAAAACAAATTTAATATGTTATATATATGTATACAAATATTTTTTTAAAAGGTAAAACTGTGAAGGAAAGTTAAAGCATTTCTGAGCATAATAACTGGTATAGAAGATATACTTCTTGTTTCTTTTGTACTCAATTTTTAATAAAAAATACGAATATGCTTGTGTGCTTATAATAATATAAAAAATAAACAAGCCTAATATTAAAGTAAAATGAATAAAAGGTTTATATTTTGCTAAATGTATATATATATTGAATTTATATAAATGTCTAAATTAATAAGGGACATTAATAATTAGTCTATTTTTTTATGAAAAAGTACACGATACTATTTATGCAAAGTATCTTTTTATAGAAAATCATAGGGACACAAGAATAAGGTATTATTTTTTTTATATAAAGTACATAATATCTGGAAACTTGATATACAAAATATATTTTATTTTATTCTCATTTTGATATGAGTACATTATAGAATATAATTTAATAAAATAAGAGTCTGAAAAAATTTATTTTTATATATTACTTATACATCTATTTTTATAGACTTTTTGTAGAACAAATTCTTATTTTTCATAAGAATTAAATTTATATCATTTTATACATATCTATATAATAAAGGTGCTATAATATGAATTTATATAATATTTATTCATATATTATTTTTTTTTTCTATGCTTTTTCATCTATTGTGTTTAATAAAATAACAATTTAATAAAACAATAACAGTGTATATAAGAAATTATAAATTCTTGGAAATAATTAATTTACAATATATTTTTTTTGAGAATAATTTTATTCTTAAATAAATTTTATATCTTTTGATATATATTGGTAAATGTTTTCATTTTCCTTTTTTTTTCCCCTAAGAGTACTAAAATTATATTTTCTGTATAACATGAATGGGTGCAAAATTTTCAAAATAAGTATACATAGAAAATATATTACCCCTTATAAAAATGATAAAGAATATATAAATGAGAACTTTTATTACAACATTTTAGTTCGAAGTGTTATAATTATTATTTATATAGTAATAATGAGTCATATTTACGAATTACTAATTAATATGAAACTGATATAAATTAAAGATGCACATGGTAAATTTGTTGTATAGTAATATTTTAGTAATCCGACGTATTACACTATTAATATTGTTAAAATTTGTTTTTTTTGAATGATTAAAATATCGATTACCTGATCTTAAATAAGATATTAACTTATTATACAAGTAAATGAAAGCTCATATTTCGCTAATTCAATTATTAAAAATGTATAGACTTATTTCTCTTTTAAAATAATTAATATTTACGATAAAATAAGTAATGTAATTATTCTAGAGTATGTGTATGTTATATTCAAAATTACCCTGGTGGTTCTTAAATGTGTGTATACTACAATTGTAGACGTTCAATAAATAACTTTTTTGTTTTATACTATAATTCGCATTGTTAAGAATTTTTGAAAATAATAAAATCCTCAAAATTTGTAATTCATTTATCGTCATACAAATTTTAAAATGTATAAAAAAAGAAAATACACATAAAGGAAATCTTTATTTCTTTTTGATAAAAATTGCAAACACAAAATGAAATAAAGATATAGAAATAATATATTAATTTTTATTTTATTTCAGAATTATTATTTATAAAAAAATCAAATAAACTAAGAATTATATATTAAATCTGAGTATAATGGGAATAATCCATGTTAATAGGATAATAGATTTTATCCTTAGTGGAATATATTAAATACAGATTACATAGATTCTTAGCTTAATCGAATAAATTAAATCACAAGAATGACATATGTTTCATAATTGTGGATTACATAAATTACTCAACATATTATCTTGTAGGGTAATACATTCGAATATTGCAAAATTGGTAACTATAAAATGATAGAATTAATGAATTATATAAGTATTATATTAAGGAAAATATGAATAGCTTTTAATTGGTAAAACATCAGTAATAACAATAAATAGATAGAATTATGATTGTATTTTTTAACTTATTATCAGTGCAACATGTAAGGGGCGAACAAATTTAAGGGGAAAATGCATAAAAAATTAATCTGATGTCGAGGTAAATGAATACAGATATCATAAAACGAATAATAACAAGTTTACATATATTTTATGCAACATTCAATGTATTTATTTTGTCACATAATAAATGTTATATATTTTTTTTTTTTCTGTATGTCTTATAACTGTTTTTAAATTCCGTTCATTTATATATTTTGCTCTGACATACTAAAGTAAATAGCGTATATTTCAACTTTATTTTAGTTAGAATTATTTACCCAAGTCTATATTACCTTTTGAGTGGAAGAATAAATTTTTGAATATTTATTTTATACATTTAGTTAAGTTCTTACAAATATAATTATAAATGTTAACAATTTTTAATATATTTTTTTTCCATTTATTATAGTAGTTATATTATATTAATTAATATATCATCATTCATTTATATAATGTAATATTTTTAATTTTTTTTTAATATACAATTTTCTTCTTAATTAGATATAAAAAAATTTATTATTTTTGGAATATTAATTTTTATTAATATTGATAATGTATTTTTTTTTATAATTCGTAATTGCAAGTACATAATTTTTGTACCCAATGATTGTATGGGAATTTTCATAGATTATTATTTTGTTATGTTTCTTGATAAACCATATAATTTTTGACCCCTTGTTAAATGTTATTCATTGTAGATATTTTATTAATTACTTAGCATTACATAATGATCAGGAATATGTTTGATAATTTTATAATTATATATACATGTAATGGTTCTTATAAGTATCCATTTTAAATTAATAATAAAATTGATGTCTTACAGTTTTATATGATATAATTTTATATATTTCACGAATTAATATTATATGTTTAGTAGTATTTTTATACTTAGTCATAAGCTATTTTATACTGATTTGAGATTATATTTTTATATGTCCATTCAAATGATTCCATTAAATTGTTATTATTTTCATTTTTTTATCGAACTATCTCCTTAACTTCTTTACCTTTGCTTGTATAAATCAACAATTGTGTGTACACTCATAAAAAATGAAATATATAATACTCTTATAAATATATTACTAATTTTATATAATTGTTAAATATAATG